GTGAGGAGCTGTTCAGGAAATGTGATCATTAATTTGAAACATCACATCTCGGAATAGACCCAACATGGTGTCTGTGCTTTTTCCAGGCCGCTGCTCTGCTCTGAGTCTTGTTCTGTCGTATTGATCAGAGATAAAAACAGGCTCTGTACAGTCCCGTGGCAATTTGTGTACAAAGAAACTGAGATAATTACTGAGAGGAGAGGGGAGACCAACACCGTGGAAAAAAAGCTATTTAAATGTAATTCAAACTCTTCCTTTTAGTCATACCTTTAGTTGTGTGACAACACACCCTTGTAATATATATCACTTGTCTACCCAAACACAATTTTTGACTGTTTTAATAACCAAATTCTTGATCAATTAAATCCACTTGGTCTGTGGAAGCCCCAGTGGATGAGAGAAAATCAACAGTACTTCAGTGCAAAAAATACACTGTAAAGTTCAGCCAATGCAAATGTGAGGCTTTAGCAGACAGAATGAGGACTGTGGATTTTGTTTCTCAAGTCGTACATGTAATAGTGTCACAAAGGGGTCTCTTTGCTGCCACTGTAGACAGCATGAATAATTACAGCAACCAATAACTATATTGTGGAGGGCGAATATGATTCCAGGAGGTAGAGAGGGTTGTCCACTAACTAATCTGCATTCCAAAGTGTCCTTGGGCAAGATACTGAACACCGAACGGTATGAATGGTGTGAAATAGAAAATAAAACGCTGAATACGGAAGTATGAATGTGTGTTAATTGGTCAATGCGACTTGTAATGCAAAGTGATAAGTGGTCGATGAAACTGAAAAAAATATGTTCCATTCATTAATGTCTAAACAGGCATCTCAGTAATTTTTGAAGACTTATTACCACTGTGGCACATGCTTTAAGTGTGCATATTATGTTTTTAGAGTCTTTCTAATTCATGTAAGCTGCTGAGTTTCAAAGTCCTCAGTACAGGGAGTCCTCCTCTCCCAAGGAAAACACTGCTCCTGAAGTACTTCAGCACATTTTTTATTCTGCATCTACGTCAACTGTAACATGTAACATAAACCTACCAGTTAGTTTTGCAGAATCAATGCCGTTGCTAGTGTGGCTACTGCACTGTTTACTGTTCATGACCTCTGGGGCCTGACATTTCCAACACATGCTGAGCCAGTGACAAAAGAGTGGGCCAGCTGACCAATCAGAGCAGCTTTGGCTTTTTGGGAAGGGAGCCAAGCGTTTAAAACAGAGCCATTCAGACAGAGGGTAATAAGAGGCACTGCAGCAGTGTACTATGGGTATGAGAGAAAAATGTGTATTTTAAACATTACAGCATGTAAATCTAAATCTTCTACTAGACCCCATATGAACCCATACATGGACAAAATACGGACACTTTAAACCTACAACTAACTCTTTTCATTTCCTGATTCGAATGAAATGATTTTCCTGAGTTCTAGAACTTTGAAGTCTGTGAGGACTTGTGAGGACTTGTGTATCTCTCTGAATTTGCATTTGACTCCTATGGAGACTGTGAGACGTCCACACTGCTGATCCAAACACTCTGAAATAATGTACTGCTTAAATATGCAAATGTGTGCAGCACTTAATGTGTCTTATGAGTGACACATGATCCGCTTTTTGCATCTCAAACCTAACTGTACCGTACAATATGCAAAGTTTGTACATGAAGGGGTGCTTGAATATAACTTAGCTCTATCACACTTATACAGCATTAGTAACAATCGATCTGTGATCTTGCCATGGATACAGAAAATGTGAGAGAGTTCCACATGAGAAGAGCTGATGAAGATAACCTGACAACCATGTCTTCCTCATTTTCTCCCCCACAATGATTGTCATAAACTGGACATCTTCACTCTGGTGGTGTGTGTGCGCGTATGTTATCTGTTCCTTGTGCTTGTGACACGGGAGGTTGCCTGTGTTTGGACTGGGGGTCATCTCTATTTTGACAGCAGTCTTTGACAGCCAGTAATTGGTTTCCTTTTCCATGCCTCTCAAAGCTTCTGCAGAAAAAGCAATTTTAGGAGCCAATCAATTCAAATTCCAGCTCACTCAAGATAGAAAAGCCTGTGCAGCTTTAACCTCCCTCGCTGTCCACAAGATAGCCGGGCTGATAATCTACTCCTGCACCCTCTTCAACCCAACCCCAGCCTACCTGCATACACACTCTACCCCTGTGTTTCTGTCACCCACGAGGGGAAGCACTCATTTCCGCTTTCTCTTGAAATCAATTGAGTGTGATAATAAGAGTTTACACTGTAAGTGGTTGGGGTGTGTGTTTATGAACCTGGAAAACATGTGCGTCTCTGTCCATGTGTGCGTACAAACATAGGCACCCATGCACACACTTTACTTTCCATACAAAAATATTCAGTACATGCATCCAATCATCAGACATGTGTATTAACGGGCATACAGACACATATGAATGCACCAGTACGCAGGTACACCAACATCTGTACCACACACACCCACGGTGGTGTTTGCCTGCCGGCTTCTCCATTCTGATGGAAAGAAACACATCATTTAACCAAACTGGTCAACTGAGAACTAATTTCTCTTTTGTAGTTACTGCCTGAGGTCCTCAGGGGTTGCAGAGTTTATATTGGCAATCAGCAGCTCACAGACTCTTTGTGCAGAAACTTCTTAGCAACTTAGTTTGGATTTTGATCAGAACACTAACTCTGATACCTCAGTGCTATGCTGCAGATTTTCACCACTGCACTCTGTGCCCGGTAATTATCTACAACACACTACAAAACTGCCATTATGTCTTGGTAACTTGACATTCAGAGAACAGGTAATGAACCAACAAGGCTTTGTAGAATCTTGTTCAATAGCAATTTACATCATCCACAGTTCTGTTCGTTCTTTGAACTCTTTTCAGTTATTTTTGAGGGTCGCTGGATAACTGTTTTAAGAACCATTAGCATTGTTTGTTTGGCATGAAACCTATGAATCCCTGTGAATCATGTGGTGAATCATTGTCAGTGAGGCACATCCAGTTTTATTTCTGTGTCGTTTCTTAATTAAATCAGACACACACACTCTTTGTGCAACCCACTTCATCAACATTTCCATCACTGTCCAACTGTCCAACCAAAAAACTGTTCAAGCTACCATGGCGACAAGGGGCAAATGTACCCATACACTGGTGTCAAGGACCCAACCCCATGGTGTTAAGTTACTGCAAATCCCTGAACAATCACTCCCATCCATCTGCTGCCGGCTGTCTGTGTCTAAAGTTGAAAGTCTTTGGTGAGCAGTTAGAAAAGTGACTGTGCCGTACTGTCATGGTGATTGTTTGAGCAGTGAATGAAGGGAATTGGGGGGTAGGGTGGCTATCGTCTCTTTCTTTATTCCTCTCTCTGTATGTCTGTCGGTCTCTCTCCACGTCTGTCTGTTGCCGTGGTGTGAAGGGCTTGGCCATAGAGGCAGAGGCAGCATCTCCTTCCAGGCTGAGCCTGGCTCCTGTCACTGCCACGATAGCTGTCACGCTAACACCCCCACCACTATCATTGGAGCACTTATGGGCCTGTCATTCACATGGGAGGGAGGGAGGTGTCAGGGGGGAGAGTGTGTCAAGGGAGATATGTAGAGGAGAGTGAAGAGAAACAGTGGAGACTGAGGCAGAGCTCAGGATGCAGAGGGAAAGCGAGGTAAAGACAGGAAAAGATAGAGGAGGAGAGGGAGGAGGTGGGAAGTTGCACAAAGAGTGAGGGGAAGAAGCAGTTGAGTGGCATTAAATGATGCGGTCACTGAGACACGACACATGAAAACTCAAAGGTTAATATAAGAACCAGACTAAGGTCCCAAACACCTCACAAGTATTTAGCGTCCCACTCACGGCTCATTGAGCAGGATGTGCTTCGGTGCACCTAACAACAAAGTGAAGGCCATTTGGACATTAAAAAGAAACACTGATTCACTATCCAGAACGTTGTGGTGGAGGCTGAAAATTACAGGCTTGAGCTAAACAGCATGGTGTAATTTTTAGAGGGGTGGAAAAAAAACATTGATAGCTGCAGCCGTTGTTCCATCTGTTGAGAGGAATCATAGACGCACACTAACACAGATGCACACACACATATCCATCAATGCATCTGATTCAGATGGCATATACATATATCTATATCTATATATATATATATATAGATATAGATATATATATCTATATATATTCTTTAACACACGTTAATGTGCACACATACATCTACATTTAGTTACAGCCAAATTCGTCGATGCATATTAACATAGTTACTCTCACAAACATCGGCTTTTTTAAATAAGTCACAGCCACATGCAAAAAAGCCCAGGCGCTACACATTCACGCACAGGCCCTCATAATAAGGTCAGTATCAGGGCATCACTGAATCACAGTGACCGGCATTGTGGTTGACAGAGCAGGCTGCCGACACGTTCAAGTTTGGCCCTTCAACTGACTGCAGAGCCACTGAAGTGAAACTCTATTACAACAGCCTCTCCAGGCGCGATCCATCAGCCCTGGCACAACACCCTGTGTGTACGCATCAGTGCATGTGTGCACATGCATGTGTTTAAAATGACAAATTGTGTTAATGTGGCTTTTTATAATGTACAAGATTCCTGTAAGTGTTGTTCTTTATGTGGCATTTCTCCGACACCCTTTTTATCTGCAATACATATGTCAGCAGTTGTTGCGGTTTTTAAGGCTGCGGTGGGTCATGTGGGTGAAGAAAATGTATCAGTTCTCCCATCAGATTGAATCCAGTTAACACCTGAGAGAGTGAAGTGTGGCTCGCTTGTCTTCAAATGAAGTCATACAGTCACACACAGCTGTTAGAGTGAGACATTTTTGAAATGGAGCGAAACCCAGTCATGACAGAATATTTGATGCAGCCATTTGGGTGCATCATGTCAGTAAATACAGTGTTGTGAACCACACAGGCATGTGCACACATACACAAAGGCTCACAAAGGATGTAAAGATGAGATTTGAAAGTTAACTCTTTTTCCCTGCACAGGCTACAGACGGAGATGCAGGCACATTTGGGAATGTGCGTTACTACTTCAGTGATGAGCCAGACCAGTAAGATCAAGTCACACACTCATACTCACACAGTCAACAGAAACATACAACCACATTAATTTTTCATTTATATTGCCTCTTATATTGCCTCATGAACGATTGCTGCGATGTTTGAGCCACACAGCCCCGCCGGAGACAGCTGAGCTGCAACGATATCTGGCACCTTTCCTCACGTCTGCTCTCTTCAAGCCACAAATATACACTATCTTCACTGTATCAATTTGTGTTGCTTCCCAGTTATTTGTACATTTTTATTTGGTTTATTTTGTCATTTGACAATAACATTGTTGCAATATTATCATTACGTTTTTATTAAAAAAAAATTTATGACAATATATAAACCTACACTATTGTAATTAGGAGCTTTTCGCTTTATAATAACAGAAACAGTTAAGTAGAATAACAGTCATTATGTGATGAATTGTAATAAACATTTTATTAAGCCTGTAGGAGGCCATAAATTATTTAGTACATCTCATTACCAGATAAAATAATAAAACATTCACAAACACCTCCCAACCACAGACATTTTATCCAACGTTACTTTTTTTTCCAGGTTTTCATTAGATGATGAGACGGGCTGGGTCACTCTGCGGGCCAGTCTGGACTACGAGCTGATGCGGCGTTTCACCCTAACCGTGCTGGCGAGAGACGGCGGCGGCGAGGAGACCACAGGGAGGATCCGTGTGAATGTGTTGGACGTCAATGACAATGCTCCGCTCTTCCAGAAGGAGGCATATGTGGGCTCGCTGAGAGAGAACGAGCAGGCTGTACAGCCGGTGGCACGAGTCAGGGTGAGACGTGATTAAAAAACATATGGTTATAGATGTAGAGTAAATTATTCCTTATATTGAACACTTGTGTTCATGACAGTATGTTCACATATAGTTTATCCTTATAAAGACCATTTCTGCAGATGATCTGCACCTGATTACAATTGATTACAATACCACCAGTCATCAAACTCACTAGCGTTTGATTTTGCTGCATCACTCTTCCATCTTTCCTCTGATTGACTATGGAGTTACTGTGTGTGTGTGTGCGCACTGTATCCAAGAAGAACAGGTCGCCCTGGTGTGTTGGCCATCACTCACTGCCACACAAAAGCCAAAGGTACACAGGCACAGTGGTAACTAATGGCTCAGCATTTCCGCAGATTGCGCCCTGGAGAGAAAGACTATTACGTCCCTTGTGGCGGGGGTTGCAGCGGTGGCTTACCCTGCCCCAGTGCACCGTGGTGCCTGGTGTTCACGTTGAGGGAGTTGAGCTGATGACTGGGCTCAACGCTTGGCTCACTGTGTTTGATTAGTCTGAGCTAACCTTAAACGCTGCTGATATTAATACGCTGCCCGAGAGGAGCTGGGGGAAGGCAGTCGCCCAATTCTGTGTGTCAGCAATATGCCCTGGAACCTCTCACACGCACACACGCTGCTCTGGAAAACAGGCAGTATAGAGGAGGAAAGAGAAAAAGGCTGAAATATATGGGAGAGGGTGTGTTGAGAGACAAAGCAAGGAGTTTTTCAGCACTTTACTTCTTTCTTTTTCCAAACAATGCCTGCGAGGTTTGTGCCTCCTACCACCGTGCTTAAGCTCTCCCACTAAACCTTTTTTCATTTTCTCTACACTTCTTATTCCATTACTTCCTTTGCCACTCGTCTATTTGATTTACTTCCCCCAACTCGTCTTACCTCTGAGTGGTAAATGACAGTCTAATATGAAACTATTTGTTGAAATGTAATATTTCTTTATCACACCGGACTGTCTGGAGAGAAAAACACAGCTTAATAGGTTGTGAGGAGGAAAGGTATCGCCTACTCAACATTTTGGCATTTACTCAAAGAGTAGATATATGCGTGTAATGGCGAGATATAATTGAGTGTTTTGACAACCTGTCCAGCCTCTAATGTTGCCGGTGAGGCCCAGTAGACCCTCCTCACAGCCGGAGGACTCATTTTTAAGTTCCTGCCAACTCGAGAATAATGAGGGGGCGTCGTCATTGTTGTTGATGTTGTTGTGGATTAGCCCTGCGAAGTATGGTTTCATCTGTCCTCTGCCTGCTTGGCTTGTCATGGCTCAGTTGGTGTTCATCCAGTATTGACGCCTGCGTCACTTATATCCAGCATCAGCTTTAATCTATCCAATAATATGTCATCACTGACTGCCAGCTCCTCTGCTGCACTTATACACAGAAACACACATGCACTCATGCTGCAGAATCATACACACATATAAATATTAGCACTGCCGGCTGAGGCATCTTTTGTCTTGTCTCACACACTCCAAACTTTCTCTATGTGTGGACCGTCACAGAGCCACATGTTAAAGGCACTCCCATCCTCTACTCTCCCACCCCTGTTTGCTCACCTACAGGCTACAGATGAGGATTCTCCTCCCAACAACTTCCTGACATACACCATCACTTCAGCATCGGCCTTCCTCGAGTACTTCAGCATTACCATGGTGGAGGGCTACGCAGGTACACTCACCTCCAGGAGCATAAAGCCACAATATTTGATTTGGTTGAGAATTAGACACATTTTAAGTTGTAGATTAGTTTCTGTCTATGCTTGTATACTTTTGGTTCTTGACCCACAACTTCAATAATCTTTGATGTTGCTGTCACATCACAAATAATAAATTTTGCATTTGCAGACCAGCCAAGTGCAGAACAAATGTCATGTAAAACGACAACTGGGTTGTAGCTGAAGAATAGTAAAACCCCTTTTCAGTGACTAATTTTAATGTACACATTTACTAATTTATCTGCACATTTGCAGATGTATACATGCAGATTTCTCTACACATGTACAAAACTCAATAAACTTACAAATCCCATTACACATTTACAGACACGTTTACAAATCTGTTCATGCCCAGGCAGATTGTGAATGCACATTTGCAGATTCCTGTAATCATTCACAAGTCTTTCCACAGCTTTCCACACACACACACACATTCAAGTAATATTGGTGAAATATTTCAAACATACAAAAGCTCAACTTTCTGTGTCCGTCCCCCCCTCCTTCCACCAGTGATCAGTGTGACCAGGCCTCTGGACTATGAACAGGTTCCCAAAGGGATGATCTACTTGACAGTGATGGCCAAAGACGGAGGAAACCTAGCCCTCAACAGCACTGTCCCTGTAACAGTGGAGGTGATAGTAAGTACAACACTCTTTCATGCTTTATGATCTCGAGATGAATCCTTCACTAAGACTCACAGGCACTGCTTGGAAGAAATACAATGTAAAATGTTAAATATGTTATGAATAAATGTGAATTCATCTTTAATTAATAGAATGTAAATCTGGGAACCTATTAGCATCCAGCAGAGTGGTAAGAGACAGCACGCAACTTCATCCCTCAGACTCTGATAAATATGGTTATATGGCAGCTATGGCTCAGGAGGTCAGGTCTGTATTTATATTTGTATTGCTAATACTGTTATTAAGGCTGCTAAATGTGTATACATTTCTTAGTAGCTTTCCTGTGTGTATTGCCTCAGTTAAAATCCTTTGACTCTTTCCAATTATGTAACATCATTTGTTTATTTTGGGTTCCAGAAAGGTGCTTAAATAGTTAAAAACATGTTTTTCCTCTTTGCTGAAAATCCTTTTAATTCACTCTTTATAAATATATATCGTCAAGCTTGGATTTTTTTTTTCAGGAGGTATTTAATGACTCTCTCGGTGCTGTGGCAGACACACCCTGTGACAAAATCCTTGCAGTCTCCCCACGTTCAAAGGCACAATCTCCAAACCTTTACAGGAATCTTTTCATTTCAGTTCCCCTCAGATGTGACTCAGAGAAAGTTTCAGGCTCGAGACATAGGAAGAGGAAATTTTGGAGACGTTTGTAAATACACACTAAGTTGTTTTTATTTATCTAAATGTGGATTTATATGACAGATTTCAGCCAGATCACAGTGGATTTGTTCACGTCTCTCACATATTGGGTTTTAGTATTTCCTCATTGTCTGAATCAAACAGCATTGTTTGCATTTTTATCACAGACTGGGCAGCTATCTGGGCTTCCACTTGCATTTGCCAGTCTTATCTCTAAATGTCTTATTTTTAGGCAGTGGAAAAAGTCACAATCATCTACACACTCACAGATGGTTTAATATCTTAAAGACTTGCTCAAGGTTGTGGGTCCTATTTTTACAAGTTATTGCTGCTGTTTCTGTTGCAACTTGATTACATTGTTTTTTCTTTTTTTTCTTTTTAATGCCCAATCTCTCTTTTCTCATGGTGACCATCCTATGATGTCATGCACATAGTCTAATTTGTTTCTCACATAATAACTAGGCCCTGACTTCATCACCTCCTATGATTACCATGAAATAATGGGGAGTGATGAGCAAATATATTTAACCCCCCTGTCAGAGCCTATAGGTGGATGCTGGGGGTGGTGGAGGGACTGAATCGACAGGCAGCGATACAGACGCAGGGCAGCAGAGGCATTAACAAGCGAAGGGAGAGATGTGAAATATTTTGGTTGACTGCCTAAGCATCGCCCCATTAATATGCAATCCTGTACATGTATCATACCTATCGCTATTAGTAATAACATATACCACTATTATGTATCACTGCTTTTGCAACCCCCATCAGTCTCATTTAGGGAACACATTAGAAAAAAATACACCTTGCACACTCTTGTATAATCTTTTTGAAATGTATTGTAAATACACTAGAAGTTGGATCATTAGATTCTGTAAAATATATCTTTTTTTTTGTTGCATGGAGCAAAACTTACACTGCAAACGGCAAAGGTCTTTATGGAATCCATTTCAATCCTTTGTAATGTAAATGTGGTGAACCTACACAATCTATACTGCTAACGACAGTCTGTATAACAGACTACAAGGTTTAGGCATAATTTTTTCATCACTCTGTCCGTTTTTCTTCTGTTGTAAATAGTAAACATGAATGTTGATGTTGCAAAGATACTATAAACACAGTATAATGAGCAAGAAGAGCTCATAGACAGGAGTCATAGACATACTTCTGCTCATTTCCCCCGATAGACATCCATTATACATGTAAGTTTCTAGCCATAAAAGAAGAAATGACAAAGTAGAATAGATGAATCCGGCTGGAGCAGTCTTTGATATGCAGGGACAATAAGCACATCTGTACACATCCTACATGAGGGAGAAATACTGTGTAAAACAACCAAGAGATCTATACTTGCGAAAACCAACAGGGAGACATGTGCACAATTCTGAATTCCCCTCTTTGTGTCTGCATCCCTCTCTCTGTCCTCCAGTGTCGTGACTCACACCACAGGGGTTTATCAGGCGCTGGCAGCATCACACACACACAATGCTTTGCAGCAGCGTAACACAGAGCCCAGACAGATAATGGTACCAGTGACTGTTGTTTAAGTGTTAACATTTCTCAGCAGCTCACACAGTAGGGAGCCTCTCTGCGAATAGCCACACAACTGGATGTGTTGGTGTGAAATGGAGTCTAATTCAATGAGTGGGAGGTTGTGAGAAACATAAATGCTCTGGTGAAGTCTGTGTAACATTGGATGCGGTTCTATGTGGTGGCCATTCATTCCTGTCACATTACAGGTCTTGAGGTAATCTGCTGTTTAAATCGACTGACTGGTTATCATCTAAAAAGATACTGCTACTGCTGTTTTAATTCAAAACGGTCTGTGCTCCTCTCTGTCTTTAATAATTTCAGTGCGAATGTGTGATGGCAGTTTCAAAACCCTTTTTTAGTTCCGGAAATTGCATGTTTACATTGTTTAGATTATTGTTTTGAGCTGTTGTTGATAATTACACCTCCCCCAGGATGAAAACGACAACCCACCGGAGTTCAGCAGGCCGTCCTACATCGTCAAAATCCCAGAGAACATTATTGCTGGTGAGTCATTTAGGGTTACACTTCAGTTTCTGGAATACATTTTCTGCTCTGCACAACCAGCAGCGCACTTAAACACTCCAAACAGCTCAAAGATTGTGAGTAGCACATATACTCTCCTCTTACCTGAATTGCCTTACTATTAGCATATTCAACAAAAAGCTCTGCTTTCTTGGGGGTATATTTTTTTAATATTTTATTTAATATGCTTCCTCTGGCCTCTACTGTCTTATTTGTTTTGATTTTGCATAAATGCTCAGCTAGAATGCAGCATGTTGACTATTCAAGGCAAATTCACTCACTTCTATACTCATTCTTATGCATGCATTCAGAGGACTCTTTTATCCCAGATAATAGATTAGTTTCCATTTGCTTGAGGAAATAGAGATATTTGACCGCCCCTTTCTCTCTGTGAGCTCCAGCAGACAGATGTTGGGCACTTTTTGTGTCTCAGTCCCGATTTGAAGGAGCACATAGCTGAGCGGCTCAGGCCAGGGCTTAGGTTTCGAGGACTATGGCTAAAGTGCTTGGCCGAGCTCGACTGAGCCGAGGGCCTAAGGCTTGGGCTCCCACGCTGAGCCCAGGGCTAGCCCCGCAGCTCTGGCTAGCTTTCCATCCCCTGTCCTGCCCGGGTATTGATCAGGCCTGTGCCAAGTATGGGCTGTGCCAAACAAGCTGATAATACACTAATCCATAAACCCACTCACTGCCAGGCCATCAGTAGTTGTGGATGGGGGCGGCAAAGAAATTAGCTCTGTGAATGCCATTTCAGTCTGTCTCTCTCCCCTCTTTACGAGACTTCATATATTTTCCTTGTGACTCTGTCTCTCAGTTCAGTTTTTTTCTCTCTCTCTGTAAGTTGTCTTTCTTTCTGGCTCACTCCCTTCKCCCCCCCCCCTCCCCGGTCCACAGGGGCAACGGTGCTGCTTGTGAATGCTACTGATTTGGACGCCTCGCGGGAGTTTGGCCAGGCCTCACTCATCTACTCCCTGGAGGGCTCCTCTCAGTTTCGTCTCAACTCGCGCTCAGGTGTGTGTGTGCAAGTGTGGGTATTTTCTGATTTTTTTAGATTGAAAATGTGAGATTCCATTTCACTTTACTACGAATTGAAATCATTTTCATCAGACTGTTAAGCATCTCTGTTTATTTAGATATATATCTGTATTGTCTTTTCCTTTTTTGCTTGTATGCAAGTTATATTTGGGTTTTGCACAAACTGGGATCTCTACCACTGTCTGAAAACTAAAAAGAGCTGTTAGTAAATCTGACTTTATCTATTCTGACTTTAAACTCAACTCATTCTGACATGAGCAGCTGCTTTGTAATGACATCTGTCACTTGGATGCTCTGGTTGTTGCCTGTTTTTAATTGTTGATCTGATTCCACATGTGTTTCAGGGGAGATCACCACCACAGCCCTGCTGGACCGAGAACTGAAGTCAGAGTACATCCTGATAGTCAGAGCTGTGGATGGAGGGGTGGGCCCTCAGCAGAAAACTGGCATCGCCACGGTAACAACTTTGTAGCTTCTCATTCATCTGATGGAACACACAGCTCACAGAACACATTAGTTTGCTCTCTATTGTTTAACCAGAATCCTTTTGGGTATAATTACATTCTGTTGTACATATATCTTTACTGCTTACAAAACTATGATGGTCCAAAGTGTTTTGCATAACTGATTTTAAGAAGTAATTTCCCATTTTCCTTTATTTCCCTCACTCCTATTGTGTTTAGGTGAACATCACCATCCTGGACATCAATGACAATGCGCCCATGTGGATGGACGAGCCATACAATGCCAATGTAGTGGAGATGAGCCCAATAAACACAGACGTTATCTCTGTGAGTGCACCTCACACAATTCAGTGAACTTTACCTGGTTGATTTGCCGCAGTTAATTAAATGGTAATGTGAACAACACAAATGAACACATCAATCCATCCATTAGCTGTGGCGCTTATCCTCTAAGGGTCGCGGGGAGGCTGGAGCTAATCCCAGCTGACATTGAGCGAAAGACAGGGGTCGTCAGTCTATCACAGGGCCATAAATGAATATGCCAGAATAATAATTTGTTACTTAATTTGAGTATGATGGGTGGTGTTTGAAATGATTGCCTATAGTTTTTAACCTGATTTGATGCAAAGAGAACCTGATTATTTTTAGTGGTGGTTTATCTGTTTTGATTGATTTTAGTCTGTGGCTTGATTTGATTCCTCTTTGCAAACTTGATTCAGGCAAAAGGTGTGGTTTTAATAAAAATACCTTGTTTCAGGGCAGAGTGATCAAAGAGTCATAAGCTTCACTGTCAGACTGTACATGAAATGACATGGTGAAGGGTGTGTCTTGAGGCATAGTCCTCCATTATTATTGAAAAATTAGTTATAACTGTGTAAGTAATCACAAAGCTCTAATATTACCCCCAACTTCTCTCATTGCTGGTGTCTTTGGCAGTGTGTTGTTGTTAATTAAGCCTTGATTGTCCATTAATTAAAGAGGCGTCAGTGAGTGTAATTAAGGGACTCCGATTGCTAATTAAAATGTAGCCTGCAGTCATATGAATCGCAAATTATTCAGCTGCTAGGCAGAGAAGGAATCGAGACCCCATCTTGAAGAGTGAGCAAGTAGAATGGAGAAATGGTGAGGAAAGAAACAAGAGCTACACGCATTGAGTTGCTAAAATGTTGCTACATTTGCCACTTAATCCTGTTCTCTTGTATCTATTCTAAAGTTCATTCATGGTGCAACCAGCGATGTGATGCACATGGTATGTGACTCCATGGACTCAGTGGCCAGACACTGTTGCCCCTACGACCATTTTTCAATAAATTGGACCACCCAGGCTTACAGTCCTGTAATTGGCCCCAATGTAGCCCTGGCCCAGCCTGTGTTTCCATGGTGACAAGAGGCCACCTGCTGAGTCCTCCTGGAGGTGTCCAGTGAGCCGATGAATTTGGTAGCTGTGCCCAGTGCAAGGATCTGCCCACTCAAATCTCAGAGCAGTCCACCATCGCTGCTGCAGCCTACACACACAAATAGACACACACACATACACACACACACACACACACAGACAGACAGACAGACAGTGACTCCTCTAATACCTAATTTTAAAATCATATTCTTTTTTCTACCAATCTGAAATCAGTACAGAGCTACAATTCAAATGACTAGTCTAATGCACTGTCTCACCTGCTTTTAATGTGCTCCGCTCAGGTCAGAATGGATCAGTCTAACTGGCCTCTGCGAGACATTCCACCACATCTTATATCACCATTGTCTGTGCTGTTGCTAATCAATGGTCCTCTGGGATGCCTGCCTACTATGTCCCCTTAATAATTAAATACCTGCAAAACCTTTGTTCCTCTAATGACCAATTAACCAGTTTCCAACATTTTTAGTCAGGGCACTGAATAATTGATCATCTCTTTAGAAATCAGCCAGTGTTTTAGTCGGGCTTGCGGCTTCACGCATTTATCACCCATTGCCACTGTGTGTCAGATAAGAGACGTTACCATTTTTCTTTCAGCTGACTGATGTGTTAAAGCAGTTGGAACAGGCTGCATATGTGAAGATGCTCTGGGTCCTTTCACTGCTATTACCCCTTATTATTACAAATGCTGTTATTCTCTTTCCTTCCCATATTAATTTCTTCATCATTTCCCCCCTTTCTCTTTTCTGGTTTAAATCCTTCCTGTCCCCGGATCTTTTAAGTCCTCCTTGTTAATTCACTTTTATTAAGCCATACACTGTAACCTCAGGATTTTTATACTCTATATTGAGCTATGGATGAGCAAGTTTCTCTCTTGTTGGGAGGAATTCATGCCAAAGAAAATATTGAGAACGGTCTTTCCTAACTCTTCCCCTCCAGGTGTTGGCAGTGGACCCTGACAATGGAGGAAATGGGACAGTGGTGTACAGTATCAGTCCTGAAAACCCCTTCTACACCATCCAAAGCAGCACAGGGAAGATTCGCACCAGTGGGGTAACCCTGGACAGAGAAAGCTCCAACCCCAAGGATGCAGCACTCATGAGAACAATCATCATCTCAGCTGTCGACCGTGAGTAGTGTGGATATCTGTAATGGTATGTCCATGTCTGTTTTCACCTCTTTTTGCTTTTTATTGTGTGAATTTGTCTCAGTCATGAAACTCTTTAACAATCTGTAAGCAAGCTCAAATTGCATAACATCATTCTCAGTAGAGAGCTTTCAATTCTCTGCGATTAGCCTCTTTCTCCAAGCCTCATTCCTCAAGTTTTATGTTGACCATGAAACTTTTTACGGTGGCTAATAAACTCCGTTGTGTGTGTGCGTGTGTTTGTGCCTGCGTGTTTTACTTTACATGTCCCTCTAACGCCCTCTTTAGGAGGTACGCCTTCACTACGTGCAACAGCAAGCACCACAGTGTTCGTCAACCTGCTGGATCTTAATGACAACGACCCAACCTTCCTCAACCTGCCGTTTGTGGCTGAAGTGCCAGAGGGACTGTCCATTGGCTCCTCAGTTTTTAGGGTGAAACATAAGACTACATATGATGGCATTTAAAACCCAGCATGATTAAAAATAGCTTGTTTATGTTTCCCCATCCAGTGTCAGAGGAGCACTGAAAGATTGTCATCTGTGATGTTGCTCCTCTAGATCCAGGTAGAGGATCCGGATGAGGATAAAAATGGTTTGATTACAATGGCGTTACAAATGGGTATGCCTCGCCTCGACTTCGCCCTGAACACCACCACTGGCATCCTCACCTCCACGGCAGTCCTAGATCGTGAGCAGATTGGACAGTACCATTTGAGGATTATCGCCTATGATGCTGGAAAGTTCCCACGCACGTCCACCTCAACCCTTACTATCACAGGTGAGAGTCTGTGGCTCATGATGATGAGAAGCTGGCTTTGATTTCCCTTAACTCTCACTGAAATTATCCCACATGTGAAACTGCTGAGCCACAGTGTGATTGGATTCTGAGTGACACAAGGGTTTACTTCAATATGGCAGATAGTTAACCACTGACACATCCCAAGATTCTGCAGAGAAGGATGCTACCACCTGCTGGTAAAACATGAAAAGTCCTAAATGGTTTGACCCGTGTGAAGTAGTAGTAATAATAGTAGTTATAGTAAACAAGGACTGGAAAGACTGAATAATGTTCACTTTCTCACGTCGCTTAACTTCACAGGGAAGTGAGAGGTCAGTCAGAGCAGGTTGAGCACTAATATCACAAAGCTGCTTGTTTTGTCTTTCTACTCTGCACCACCCTGCTGCCTTATTTGTCCTCATGTACATCTATTTGTGTGTCCTCATGTCTCTCTGTGTGTCTGTCGGCGTACGTACGTCAGTTCTGGATGTAAATGATGAGACACCCACCTTCAGCCCTCGCGTGTACAATGTTTCCCTGAAGGAGAGTGTCCCTAGAGACCACATTGTAGCACGCCTCAGCTGCACTGACAACGACGCTGGCCTCAACGCTGAGCTTAGCTACTTCATCACAGGTCAGAGGTCACAGTGGGAGGTGTTATATGTGTTTGTGGACTACAGTGTTGTACAGTTTTGGGGACTATGTGCACGTTTGGTTCCTTTGTCTATCCATCCACCATTGTGTAAATTTGTAGTAGGTGAGCTGCTCTTGAATGCATGTTTCTTTTATTATTATTGCTGCACTGTGTGTATATGAGAGTGTATGATTTAATAATAGGCTGTATTTTCATTTGGAAATATGTTTGTGTTTTATATTTTTAGATGGTAATCAGGACGGTAAATTCAGCGTGGGCTTCAGAGACGGAGTTGTTCGGACAGTAGTTGGCCTGGACAGAGAGACCCAGGCAGAATACACTCTGGTTGTAGAAGCTATAGGTGTGTCATCAATTCATGTTTTGAAAATGACAATACCCCAGTCCTCTTTTATTATCCTCATTTTTACATAGTCTTTGGTTGTATTTATTGTTGAACTTGTATTCTTCTCAAAGCTGCTCCCTTCTACTTATGTATGAAAATGATGAAAAAAATGATGCCTGCACATCACCATTGATTTCCGACTGTTGCTCAACTGCTTTTGTTCCTCTTATAAAAGAAAGAACAAAAACTGAGGTTTTCCTGTTTTGGAAACCATTGAGTCAGAGTGGCTTATCTGCTAAAGAGGTCAGAGACACAAGCAAGGGGAAACGAGTCTGAGATAATAGAATCCTGTGCAAAAGAGCAGATTTACATATATTGTCCTAATTCACAAGCAGCTAAAAATGAAGGTTTGATAAGCCAACTAGTTCCAGTCTCACTTTTTTGCAACATGCTATTTTAGGTTTCTGCTCAATCAATGGATCGCTTTATGTAACATTGCGTTTCCATTTCTATATGTGTTGTAATAATATACCGCAGAATGTTATCCTTTTAGCCTGTGGTACAGCCATAAAATGAAAGCCGTGTCTATTTTGTGTTTCTTGGCATCAACCCTACAATTGGCATTAACCTGAATGATTGTAACCTATGTGTTTGTGAATGTGTCTGTTCCTGCACACAGACAACGGCCCAGCGGGCAGTAGGAGGACAGGCACGGCCACTGTATTTGTCGAGGTGCAGGACGTCAACGACAACAGACCCATCTTCCTCCAAAACAGTTATGAGACCAGCATATTGGAGAGTGTGCCCATAGGAACCAGCGTCCTTCAGGTGGAAAACACACATAATGCTAAACACACCAGAAACATGATGCACATTCACCAGTCACACTAAAAGTCACTTTATTTATTAACATAACAATCACTAAACACAGAGAAAGTCTCTGTTTGGCTCACAAACATGTTTTGAAAATTACATGAAATCACACTATGAAATAATTCATAGTTTGTCTTTATTTGCATGAATTACTAGGTTGATGGGGTTCACAGCATCAGAACTATTAGCAGTGATGCAGAGGAACAATGCTTGTCCACAGAATTTGAACATGTTTGGTGAAAATTAAAAGCTTTTTTAGAAAAGATAATAAAGCTGAGCTGCTGTCATTTGAGGCTTGTGTTGGGCCCACTGTGTCTGTTAAAGTGCTGTTATACTCGTTGGAAAAACTTGGATGCAATCTAATCAGACCGAATCTAATCGAGGATAGATTTGATGAAGCATCAAATCCTTACTGCCAGAATTGTATTCGAATTGAGTCATGGGATTAATTCATATCCAGTGGATACACTCCAGAAGTGTGGTGGAAAAAAACATGTATGCTCAACACTGTTACCTGCTGCTATATTGAAGGCAAAGTGTTCAGTCTCAAAAAACATGTAAACCTGTCAGACTGTCTTTTTGATTGGCTTATGATCTAGCACTTACTTTGTAGCAAACCTCATCCACCTGGAATTCAAATTAATACAATCTTCTCATTTACTCTTCATCCACATTCATCCAAATACAGTGTGTCAAATTTTTGGAAGCAGTCAGTCAACTCTCAGCCTCAGATTTCAGTGACATAGTCAAATAGACATGGCATAGTGAGGTGAGGCTCCTTGCTGGCTTCTGACTGTGGCGTCTCTCCTGTTGGTGACTGTGACACATTTATAATCTCCCGCTCATGTGGTCTGCGGTGTGGCGGCCGTCGGAAAGACAGGTTGTACGAACGCCGATACGAGCCCAGTCTCTTCCACACTTTGAGCTGGGGCTCACTCGATCGGCTTTGTCCACGGGTCAAGCTCTCTCCTGGGCCACAGCTCGCATCCGAGTCCCCGTCCTGTTCAGAGGACCGGCATACAGCCAGGAAGGCGGCGAACCCGGCCAGCAACAGAGATAAACCCAGCACCACCATGATGGTGAATTCTGGGTCATGGATGTGTGAAGAGTAGGATGGAGGCTGTGAGACGGTGGAGAAGAGGCTGGTGTTTGTCAGGCTGGACAGAGTGATGTTTTCTGTGTTGGAGGTAAGGGTGAAGTTGGAACCTGACTCAGTAGTGTTCATGTTGTCTTGGACCTGAAAGGAAAAAGAAATTAGATTGGAGGTATATTTTAGAATGACCTGAGGGTATATGTGTGTATTTGTTTGTTTCCTCAATCTGTGTGTGTGTTTGTGTGTGTGTGTGTGTCAAAGTGCCACAGCAGTCCTCTTGATATACCATGTTTTACCTTAGTAGCCAAACCAAGCTGAGTAGGTTTATTAAGTTGCTTATTTTCGCTTTATTGGGATCACACCTTGACAAGCTTACAATCCATGCATACACACACACACAACAGACACACATGCAAATTTGCACAGAAGTGCCTGTATGCACATGCACATGTGGCGAGTGTTTGGCATTTGCGGCAATTATGTAGCTATTAAATCAAGGACCAGAAAACATTCAATGCTTGACAGGCTTTCTTCAATGTAAAACAAATTGGGTTTATTAAAATGCCCCTTGTAAAATGCAAGGCGCCCACCTCTTCTACCCCAGTCTCCAATTATCCCCCCTCATTCTGTGTGCCCCCATCTTTGGTATAGTAACATTTGTAAATGTCAATGTCCCTAATTCAGCGCAGACAAAGCATGGCTTATCGGTTTAAGGGAAGCACAGTGGGACGTGAAATTATTTTTAAGACCAAATGCCAGGAAAGCTGTGAAAAGGCCACTGGAGCAGGATGGCTCGTTAGAGAGTCAGTTCATTAGTCAGCGCCTCCAAGTACATACACTGCACGCACACATACCCACACATCTATTCAAACACAAACTTTCTTCCTCACCCACACATATTGTGGGCTGCACTGCACATATAGGTGATTATGCACGCTGCTCTCAAACTTGGCAGCTTAGCTGTAAGGTACTCTCCCTCTCTATCACCCCACATTGTTGCTCCTCCAGATCTGACTGCTCAGCTAGTTTTGAAACAATAAAGTCTTTCCTTAACTTCTGTGTCTAACTTATTCACATTTGCAAAGTTTTACCAGTTTTGCACTCACAAGTTCTGCAATAATGTCTTAGGAGAACAAGTAACTGCTTATTAGATTTATTTGCCTTTTATTGCCTCTTGTCTCTGATATATGGTATTTTTCACTATATATTATTTGTATTATCTACATGGTGGAAGAAACAACAATTTTGAAATGGAATTACAGTTCACAGATGTCAGCGTCTTTCACCGATGCTCCAAATAAATCATACTAAACCAAATGCATATAACAGCCTCAACACACTCCCTTAGACAATGTGCTGTTACTCAAGCACATGTCAAGTAGCTCAGTGTCAAAATGTGAATTTTAGGAGTTGCAGTCCAAAGGAAACTTCACAACAGATATGAAATACACATTGTAAGAGACATTCATTTGATGGTTAGCAATGTTTTTGCCTTTTTGTTTACCTTTAAAATGCTGTACTATTAACATCTACCTTTAAAAATCTATTCTATTAACTTTTTTTTTATCATATTTAAACTTTTTGTTCTCTGGAAGAAATGCCCAAAAAGTATATACTCACAGTCACACCCACACTTTAGAGACTCTTTAAAACAGCAACTTGTTTCGTCCCAGTAACTGAGGTCAGACCTGTTTCTTGGCTCCACACACTTGTTTTCCCCCCTAAAAGTGCTGCTTTCCCAGAGACAGTGGGGGAAATGCTGGGGAGGAAGACGGGAACAAGGAGGCTAAGGGGGTAAAGTTTGGGTAACAGCTTCATGGTTGAAATATCTCACTATTGTTTTAATCCCAGGGAGCCAAAGACAATAGTGTATTTTCTGAGCCAAGCAGAGGTTTATCCCTCCGTGTTTCCACTCCATATTCTTACACTTACAACATCTGACTCTGCAATGTATTCTTAAACTTTATACACCCCCTTTTATGGCCTAAGTGGTGCAGTCCGCTGTGTAATACCCTATTCATCACTCTCCAATCTGAACCCCCAGCGTCTTTTTTTCGCCCGTCTTCCCCTCCCCTCTCCTCCTCTTTCTCCTCTCCTCTCCACATCTCTTTATAAAGCTAATGAGACTGAAGTTGGGCCTCTCTTCATAGAGGGAGTGAGAGAGAGCAAAGGAGGACACACAGGGCAAAGTGAGAGAGAGAGAGACTGTGAGTGGCTGTGACTGTGTGTGTTTGTGTGTACTTGAGTGCGCATACATGTGCTTAATTTTTCCTGTCTGTCTCTGTGTGCAATTGAATATGCACTTTGTAGGCATCTCCACAGGTTTTGACACATCTGCAGTGGAGTGGGTAGAGTCACCCTCATCCAGTGCCAGCGGCTCTGTGCCTCTGTGGATTCAGAAGTCAGTCTTATGACATGGCCCATTCACCAGCAGCCCAGCATGCTCCATTCTTTATCTGTGTACGCTGCGGAGCCGTGCTGTCTGGGCTGGGTTTGGATTTTTTGGCTGCTTCTGGCTATTTCCCTGTGAGAGAGCAAGCAAATTTCTCACTGCCAAACCATGATGGGGTTGTTGTGGCAACAAGACACTGGGCACCAGTGAATGTGTGGTGAATAGGGAAGTCTACTGAGTTGTCCATCTGTTTATAGAAACCACTGAATCAAAAACATCGTAAGAAATGTGCTCTCTGTCATGTTAGTGTTTAGGAAAAACACTTGAGTTAAACACAGAACATCCACACACTCACTGGAAACAAAATCAAACTGCTCAAATCTCTCTTCATGTTATTGGCTCTTGCATATTTTGCCATCATAAGAGTTATAACTCTGCAATTGTACCAGTTGTAAATAGAGAATAAGGACATTGCTGTTTCCCTGTATGGAGCCAGATGGTTTGTGTTTGTAAGTCATATGTAAGTCATCTTCCAAACACAAACCATTTTGTTGTTTTTGGTGTCACATATCTAAGTGCATAGTTTCTGCTTGTGTGTGTTTTTACAGGTTCAAGCTACAGATGCAGACCAGGGGGAGAACGGTCGAGTTCTGTACAGGGTCCTCACTGGTAAGGGCTACCGTCATTGAATATGATCCTCTTTTGTCCAATTATTTCACTTGTTTCCAAAGCAATTTCTCTGTCTTGGAGCAAAAAGATTAGATGTTCTCACAGTGAAAATACCAGTAATGACTTGTTCTTTAAACAAAGGAATGTGCACTAACATCAACTAGATTTATCTCACCCAACTGGTAGCTGTCGAGACTAGATTCAATTGTTAAATGTTTATTTTTTACAAAAGTCACTATGCTGTCCTTCTCTGTCATTGTCTTTCTGTGTGTGTTTATATCTTCTCTTATTTGTGATGCCGTGCAGGCAACAGCAACAAGCTGTTCAGCATCAACAGACAGACTGGGCTGGTGACAAGAGGCCTCAGGGCTCTGGACAGAGAAACCAGCAGCTCCCATGTGTTGGAAGTGGAGGCCTACAACAGTGACGAGGGCAGCATGAGGAGCTCCGTGAGGGTGAGCAGACAAATGGACACGTTTTGTGGAAATACTATAATTTGCCCATCCTGCAATTCTCACTTGCTGTGTTTCACATTGTATGTAGAAGGAATTTGTATTGTACAAACAGCTGACATGTTCATTTGGTAGATGTGGATTCCAGAGGAACCAGCCCCTCAAGTGGGAAGCAGATTTAGATCATATGACTCATGTCTATAGTCTGATTTCTTGATGAGTGGTTAAAAATTACCAAACCCTTTCCCAAAGACTCTTTTCATCCTCAAAGATAATATGTATAGTTGATTTATGGCTAAAAATATTACCCCCTACAGGTGATCATATATGTGGATGATGCCAACGATGAGGTGCCAGTGTTCACCCAACAACAATACAACCGTCTGGGTCTTAGGGAGACAGCTGGCATCGGCACCTCTGTGATTGTGGTGCGCGCCACAGACCCTGACAGTGGTGAGTTTTATCTCAAAGTTAGGGAGAGGGGAGTTTGATGGTAGTTGTTGTTATTGACTCTTCAGTGTCACTTCAGGTTAATCTTCATGACATTAACACAGAGAACTGAGCTAACTGAGGTTTAAACATCTGCTCACCTCTGCTCTGCGGGCACCAGTCAGTTGTGTGCAGGTCATCGACCTCAACACAAGTGGGCACCACTGCTAAGGGACATATCACAGACCTGAGCTGTTTATACCCTGTAACACAACAGTGACACACAAAAACATCTTTCATTTAAATCGTCAACTTCTGCTCCACTTCCTCTATTCAAACTTCCTCTATTCACTTCCTCTGTTGTAAAGTGTTTTTCAGATGCCTGGTACTATGACATACATTTCCCAAAGCAGCTGTCTAGAAACTGAAATAAACACATAACATAAACATGCCACCAAGGAGTCGACAGCAGTGCTAAATAGAACACAGAATCAGAGAAGCGTATATATAGTTTCAATGTAAAAATGTAATGATGTTAAAGATTCTCTATTAACTATTTGAAACAAATTGAAACAAATCACTTGCAGCATGAAACATCAAGACAGTACCTATAGAACTAATTGGTGCAACAATATAGGACAACCAACACATTTTATTCTGTGTTGATTTGACAAGAAACCTTCGACACAGCTATACAGCACCAAACATATTCACCTTCTGACACAAAACACAAAAATGTTCATCTAGTGTAAAGTGGTGCAACATATCAGTTGATGTTAATGATTTTCTATTAACTATTTACAACACTGACAGTAGTTGAAAAACAGTTGGCAGTTTTATTTATGAAGCACATTTTATACACAGCTAGATTAAAGCTGCTGTACAGTGACATTTAAAACCATACAGAGCCAAATCAATCTCTCCACATTCAGAAAGCTTAGTCTAAAACAATTTCAATCAAAAAAAAAGAGGTAAAGCTTTCTTCTCCTTGGTAAAAAAATGTTTTAAAGATATTTTTTAATTGTATGTGATCTCCTGTCAACCACCACTTTGTTTCTGTGAAGGTGATGGTGGAGCTGTCGCTTATGCCCTCGTGTCTGGCTCAGATCGCAAATTTGAGGTGGACATAAGCACCGGCCTGGTAACCACTGTGGACTACCTGGACTACGAGACCAAGACCACCTATCTAATGAATGTCTCAGCCACTGACCAGGCCCCACCTTTCCACCGAGGTTTCTGCACAGTCTATGTCACGCTGCTTAATGAGCTGGATGAGGCTGTGGCCTTTTTCTCTGCCGGCTATGAGGCCTCTCTGCGCGAGAACATCGCCACAGGGACAGAGGTGGTCCAGGTGCAGGCCCAGTCAGCCGACAACTTGAACCAGCTGACATATCGCTTCGACCCTGACACGTCGCCTGCAGCTCTGGCCCTATTTAAGATCGACAGTGTCACGGTGAGTGAGGGAGCATTTGATTTGATAACACCTCTCCCTCTGTGATTTAAGCTCGAGCTCTTGTTGCTGCATGACCGTAAGCTGAAGAGAGCGTGTTTGCTTTGAAGTCTTTCTCTGACAGATGGGAAATGAGGATTTTTTTTTGTTGATTTCTATGAAACTTCATAGTCTGTCCGTCCTCGCTCACTTTCTGTCACATTAGGAAGATTTCCATCTAGATATGCTGCTGTGTTTGATGTTTCAGGGCCGTATCACAGTGACAGGTCTGCTGGACAGAGAGAAGGGGGATATGTATACATTGACTGTTGTAGCTGATGATGGAGGGCCTAAAAAGGACTCCACTGTGGTATGTTGATTCATTGTGAATTCTGATTAGAAGCTCCATTTCTGTTTTTTGTTCAGTTTTGAATGCATAACAGTATCTGCTGTATCTATTCTGTTGTAGAAAGCCTAATGGCATTCCTCTTTTATTCATTGCATCTCTCACTGGGACTGCAGAAGGTAAGACTTTGCGTTCTTTTTATAAAGTACAACATGACGTGTTTATTTGCTGTATGTGTGTTTAGTGCTAATCTTTTATCTTTAGATTTGTTGTCTTGGTTTGATTAATCTCAGTATTAAGGTAAGTATCATTTCAGTGATGTGTGGCAGAGCCCACCTTTGATATCAACTTTTATTAAAAGGTTTCAATCACCATTCTGGACGAGAATGACAACAGCCCAGTGTTGGACATCACTTCTGATACTTCAGTGGACATCCTAGAAAACACACCCATGGGAAAGAGAGTGGCAGTCGTGCTCGGAAGGGACAAAGATGCTGGACTGAATGGACTGGTGAGAGTACAGATGGAAAAATCGAAAAAATCGAAAAAAATTACTTGCAGCATGAAACATCAACACAGTACCTATAGTTTATCAGTTTTTGTTAATAATGTGAGGCAAATGAACAATGATATAATATATGTATATATRTAATAATATGGCATTTAGAAGTTAAGTTTCACATTTTGGTCTGTGTGTCTTTTCATATTGTGTGATTATTATTATAATTCACTGAAGTCAAATGAAGCTTGCCTCAGTTTCACATTGGCTAAATGTAATTGTGACATGTCAGTGTCATGATCCACTTAAGTTCCTGCAGAACATTTTTCTTACGCCTTTTTGTGCTTTTTTTTCATCTCTATCTCATCCCCTCCCCTCCTGTCTCTTGCTTATGTTTTCTTAATTTTCTTTCTTATTCATAAATTAATTTGTTCTTGTTTTTGATGCTCCGTGGGTGTCCCGGTTGTGCCCATTGATTCTTTAGCTTGGGCTGCTATTTATTTAATATTTAGAAGCTGCAGGCTGAAATCCAACTTTAAAACTTGGACATTACAGGTAACTTTATAATGAAAGCTTTTGGCTGAACCTAAGCTTGTGCATTGAGAGGGATGTTTTCTTTCCATCAGAAAAGAAAGAAAACATGATTGTCGTTGACTCATTCTGACTCATTACTCTCTTTTCCCTCTCAGGTCAATTTCACTTTGGTGGCAGGCAACATGGAGGATGTGTTTAAAATCAAGACAGTGAACCACACTTACGGGGAGGTTTATGTCAATGCTCCTCTGGACAGAGAGTCAGTGGACCGTTACTTACTGAAGGTCAGTCAGCAATCCACACGTAGTTATGACATCTTAAACAACATACTGAATATTCTGTATGTGGCAATATAGCTCTCACAAATCCACATCTCGATTTTTCATGTCAGCACAAATCCTTTAACTAATTACAAGTCCCACATATTGATTTGTATGACATCATAGTCATCTGTGTATCACCCATCCGTCATTGATTTCTCCACATCTCTCTAGATAAATAAAACCCTTCAGTGTAAGTTTAACTCAATAAATAATAAAAGTTCCTGAAAGTTAAACTTTTGTATTTTTCATTCTGACTCTATGCTCACACGGTGACGTCACCTTTCCAGTAAAGTGGGAACAATCGGGGCGTGGCCGGTGGCGACGTGTCACCTTCTACGTTGGCGACGTCGTGACGTCAGTTTCGGGGCGGGGCAATAAAAGCTTGTTTTCCAGCCGTGCGGACTCTTCGGCTCCATTTTGTGAGAAGCAGCGACAGACGTGAACGTTTCCTCCCGAACCAGACCGGAACAGCTCCACAGCCACAGCCCGCTGACTCACCGCCCGTTCACCAAGTTATTATCCGAAAAGGAAATCCAATCAAATCGTATGTCCGCTATCCAGAACCTCCAAACTTATGGTGAGTGCGTTTTATCCGACGGGGAAGACAAGGTGGGGGAAGGGCGAGAGCTAGCGAGGCTAACGCTCGGCTTTAAACAGGGAGCTTTAATCGGTTCGATGTTGACCATCCACTCAACACGTCTCCCTCTCCGCCTCCAGCTCAGTAGAATTCTTCATCCGCAGTGAATTCATGTGCAGGTTTGGATTTCGTCGTTCGTCCACAGGCTGCTTGTTGTTCCAACGGCCGCCATTGGGCCTACATGCCACGGCTAACGCGTTAGCTTATTCTTCGGACGCGTCAGCTCCGCGGACGGAAATGTGTGTTTTCTGCGCGTGAATCCACAAAAAGTCTGATTTGATCGACTCGTGCGTTCTGGGATTCTTCACCGATGTGAAGACGAAAGTTTTACGTCATGACGATGCTGTTTTCTCCCCCGTCTGCTGACCAGAAGCTCCCGTTAGGCTGTTGCTAACTAGCTGCCAGGCCGCAGCAAGCTCTTTAGCTCTACATGTAGCCTGGACGTCTGCGCAGTTTCTAAACTGAAACTCGACACTGACATTTTCAGATACAGACGTCCAGAAAAACGAAACGACCCTGACAGAATATGGAACATCTTGTTAATTAAAGCACGTTTGGTGATTTAGTGGGGACGACGGTTCCACGGTTTTCCTGTGTTTATTTAGTGGCTCTAACAAAGCTGTTCTTCTACCCCGTCCCCTCCAGACCCCTTTGCTGATAAGGGTGATGACCAACACCCAGCTGGGACTGAGGAATACATCCACATAAGAATCCAACAGCGGAACGGCAGGAAGACCCTCACCACTGTCCAGGGCATCTCCCCCCGATATGACAAGAAGAAGCTAGTCAAGGCTTTCAAGAAGGTGGGATTTTCTGTTTCGCTTGGTCTTTAGAAGTAACATTTGACCACGTCATGGTGTCTGACTTACAGATTCATTGTTTTGCTCCCTAACAGAAGTTTGCCTGCAACGGCACAGTGATTGAGCACCCAGAGTATGGTGAAGTGATCCAGCTGCAGGGTGACCAGCGCAAGGATATCTGCCTGTTCCTCACTGAGGTACGTCGGAAGAATCACACGAGTTTCTTTTCATGCTGTGTTTGGAACGTTGGTGAAGTGGGTCAGGGGGCGTTTTCATTGATCAGTCCTTGTTCTGTCTCTGCAGGTTAACCTGGCCAAGGATGACCAGCTCAAAGTCCACGGCTTCTAGAAGCTGCAGATCAGTCCTCTCCCCGTCTCTCCTGGAAGGCCATTAACCCTCCTCCCTTCCTCCTATGTGCTGCTGTTGGCCCCCCCCCTTGTAGTCCCACCAGCTCCTACTAGCTAACATGAGATTTACCTCTTGACAAACATGGGACTCTGTAACACCATCCCCCTACAACACCAGGGGGCAGGCTCGCTCTCACAAAGACACACCACTGCAGCTCCACACAACATCAGGGATGAGTGGTGATGACCCCGCCCACCTCCCCCCCTTGTTTATTCCTTTTATTTTTTATTTTTAGGCCTCGTGTCAATAAAGAGGCACAGTTTCATGTAACTTTTTGTTTTGTATTTCAAGGTGTTTCAATAAAACAATGAGTCTCCATGTGTTGGAGTGTTGTCATGGGGAATGGAGGGGGGGTCACATCTGTAACAGCTGATGTGTATCATTGAGGAGCCTGCAGCTTAGAGGGGGGGGGGGGNCTTTCTTTCTTCATCAAAAGGTACACAAGCGTGACTAACATTCATTAACAATTATCAGCAAGAATCAACTTTTTCCTAAATACTGTACTCACAGAAATGTTTAGCACCTAATGAATATATCTAAGGCTACTATGAAGTGCTGTGTTTCTGAGAGAACAGGAAGGAAGGAGAGGTAGCACAGAGGGAGGGGGAAAGAAGCTGAGGCCATGTGTGGGAGTGGAACAGTGTAATGCCATAAAACAACACATGTCGGTTTGCATAAGAATTTCTGGACTTCTCTGATGATTGCGCCTCCATCAGTTTGACACTATTACAGCACTTTGTTACAGAGAACAGTGATGAGATGTGACAGTCAGACCTCCAGTTAAAGCATGTTGTCTTGTAGTTCCAGTCTGGTTTGAGATTTCTTATTAAATTAGCTCTGAAGTGAGACGTGTACACATGATCAGGGGGTCCTAGTCAGTATGTTCTAATATTTGACAAGGAACCTCCAAATTACACATATAAGTTTGAACTGCACCAAACAACATGCCACCTCTGCATATCGCAGGACCCTCACCCGTAGCACTCTGGGTTCATCTCAAGCAGTGGGCCTCGCCAGACTGAGGCTGTTTGACGGTGTTTAGATGGAACGTAACACACAAAGCCAGCCCCCGCCACAATACAAGTGTTCACAAGCAAAAGTTTGCTTTTGGCCTCCAGCTGTTGTTACAGGTGGAAATAAGCTATTCCCTCCTGCGGTCCAGACAATATACAGATGACGCTCCCAGCAGAGGTTTTTGTGAGACAGCTTACAAGGGCTACGATGCTCTGAAGGCAGAGAGAAGAGGAAGAGAGTTGGAGGACTGTTTCCAGGTCAGCAGTCAGAGCAGTGATTGAGGTCTCACCCCCACTTTAAATCTGCAGGAAGTCTGGAGACTCAGGGATGGTGTCTGGAACAGAGAGACGTGCAGGTCAGTCAGAGCAAAGAAATAATAACAGGACATATATCAACCTGCACAAAATGCACTTTTCATGTCCTGTGCTGACATGGAAACCTCAATATATAGGAGTGAGTTTGTGCATTTAAAATTTCACTTCCTGCCCAAAATGCAGACAGATGTTCACAAAATACAAATGGCAGCATTATTTTTTCCAAACCTCCTACTGCTTAAATAGTACAAAGGCATGCAAAGATGGACAGATTTCACAGAATAAAATGTGTTTGGCTGGAAACCCATTAAAAAGCAGAACAGGGCGGTCTTAAGTCTAAGTTGCGACACATTTAGGATAACAGGGAACTGCTGCTGGTTAAATTCCGCTCTGCTTAAGGTCAGTGGAACAAAAAAGTTGAAGAGAAAAGCTGAAGTATGGCTTTTATCCATGTAACATGAAACCTCACATGGCTCTGTATTCTGCATAACATTTGTAGAGCAGTGTAAGAAATTACCTTTGGCAGGGAACTTCCACAGATGTGAAACATGTTTTAATGATGTTATCAATGTTTCTGGCTCGCTTCAGAGTAAAGGCAACATTTTACCTGAGATGCCATCAGGTAACTGAAGATTTTATCATCTACTGTAAGCAGAACTTTTTAAGACCTTTACCACAATCCTATATGTGTAAATATAGTAATAGTTTGTCAGTTGTCCCATAAAGTATATTGTCAATGGACAAGCTTCAATCAGTGTTTCTGAGACTTGTCCATGTTTGCTCAGTAAACTGTTCAAGGTCATATTGATGCATTTGAGATGGTTCAGAGTGGATTTTTAGTAAGCCTGCTTCTGTCCTTTGACTGTGTTCCCAGAAAAACGGGGCAATCCACTTCAGTATGCCTGGAATGTCTGCCCAGGTGCCCCGGGAATCGGTAGAAAAACACTCAGGATTGAACCCCTTCACCGTAACTAATGCTTCAATATTATTTCAAGTTGGGTCTGAGAGAACGGTCAAAGGGGCCATTAGTGTTAAATGAGAGTGCTGATGGGTGGAGAAGGACTTGCAAGGGAGGAGAAGAGAAGTATTCAGATGGTGACAGCAAAATGAGGTGGTTTCGTTTGTGTGGGAGAAATTAAAGTCCTTACGCAGAACATTTTCTTAGTCACGTCTTCTCAGCCCAGCTGTTTTCACTGAGGGCGTGCTATTATGCACGACAGTGTGTGTCTTTCTGCCAACATCTCACCAATGCAGGATGTTTCAGAAAGAGCAAGCAAGGCCTCTGTGATTGCATCAGTCTTTTAATAAACTGATTTTGACATAGGTTTGTTCAGAACTATGTGCTTATGTAATATAGTTACATGACACATGGTAACATTAATGGGAAGGGAAGGAAATGTGTTGCTGACGTAAATTCGTATATTTCCACAAAAACAATGAAGTGAGCATTGTTAGAAAAACTAGAAAAATCAAGTTTGTACTTGATCTCCCCTGAGAGTGAGCTAACTCATACTCAGCTCTCTTTATGGTGCAGGTCAGATTTAGGTTTGAGAGAGGCCAACGGGTCAAAGCTGAACAAAACAGATGGGTTAGATACCTGTATGTCCCAGCCTGTGCAGAATGATTTAGTGTTTTTCATCTGTAGACTATTGTTTCCTATCCTATCATATGTCCCTGGTATCAATTTCTTTGTCTTGGCCTGAACATTGTGTTCCCTTTAATGTAACATGCCGTTGTGTCGTCATGATGTATAGTTTTGTGTTTCCTACCCTCTATTGGGAAGAACACGTCCCCATGTGCAGGAGGAGAGAGAGGGGTTCCTGGCTCAGACAACAGGTGGCGTCCTGTCTCAGAGGACTGTCGGGCCATGATCTGAGAGACGGTGCGGGTCTTAATCTGTGGTGATCCCGCGAGGAACACTGGGTTCTCATGGCCATGGGCCTCGCTGAACAAACACACGCACACACACAAGAAAGGGAAGCATACAGATGAGTACGAAATTACCAAAATTACCCAACAAACGATTACAACACTGATGTGTTGCTCAACATTTTTAGATTTTTTTGTGTTGCTTTTGTATTCTACCAGTTAGCGTGGCTTTAAAACTTGATCTCTGTGGCTCTATAATGGACTCTGAATAAGGTTTGCTGTTTATTTAATGCATGCAGAAAATGTATATAGTGAGCGTAAAGTATTTCAAAAGATTTCCCAAAATATACGCCCCAATTGCAGTTTTCCTCCTGAAATAGTAAAATTGTCTGGCAGTAATTGAGCCGTAGTAAGTGGAGGACTCAGTCCACAGAACCCTGAAGAAGCTACTGCACAAAGAGCTGTTCAGTGAAGCTCGAATTAGTACACAGAACACCGAACTGGACAATCCGTTGTTGTGGCCGTAAAATGCGCCTGTTGTCGTAAATGTTTGTTATTGACAACTTTACTTATGTCTACGATTCCGAGCAGAGCTTTAAAAACTTTAAGTGTAATCAAGTTGTTTGGCAGAAACTACCTATTGTGAAAGAAACGATCGACCACTGGATAATGAAAGCAGAAAATCCATGTAAACAGTGTTATTATTCCATAGCACAGCTGTGAAGCTGGTGTATGAGATCAGCTGCCTGGCAGAGTGTGGGAAAACTCACCTGTCCATCCTCACCAGCTCCTGTGCACCTGGGAAAGAGGAAACGGGAAATGGGCCATTGTGAGTGAATTGAAACAGAGCGGAACACTACAGATACAAGCTGGATGTGATTCCTACTGTGTGAAATGCACTTATCCACCTCGGTGACAGGAAATATGAGTCAGGCCAAACACTATGAGGGACCAAGTGTGAGAGACTTATGGAAATGTGTGCATGTGAGTGTGTGTGTGCTTGTTTGTGCATACATACGTCTGCTCGACTGGGCGTTCTCCCTCTGTTTGTACACAAGCACCAGAATAAGAGGCAGAGAGAGCAGAGCCAAGATGCAGGCTGCTATGGCCAAGGCCACTGGCACGGAGCCTGGGGAAGCAGCAGAGAGACTGAGAGTTAAATAAATTAAATAACTGGCCAGCCATCAATTGGCCATGAAGCCTTGAATAAGGTGATATACCTCCAGATGGTGTGGGATCCCAGACAGTGCAATCTTGAGATCCATTTCTCCCTGGAAAAAGAATAAATGCATTACCTCTCTCACTGAGTATATCACAGTAAATAGCTTGTCTAACACAACAATGTCTGCTCATAGAATATGACATTCAGGCACAAAGTTGTTGACCACAGTGAGTGATTCCACATCACATAGATTGAGGGGAACAAACATACTGATCTTGTCCTACTTGCAAGAGATGTGCTTTATTTAAGTTAATTTCTTCCCCTGTTAGTTAATCAAATTCTGGCTTCATATTCACAGTTAAACATGTACTTACTTGGTGTAACATGGAGGATAATGTGACTGTGGGGTTTCTGCAGCAGGGAGGCATGTTTATTTGACACCTGGAAGTCTAGGAGCATGCAGCAGTAGCGGCCCTGGTCAGCGTGGGTCACGTTCTGCAGAACCGCCCAGAAATTCTTCTCCGAAAATCCAAAGTGCAACCCTGCCGGTAAGCTGTGGTTGCCATGGGGATGACCATTGTAGATAATGTGGCGTGGGCCCTCCCTTCCTGAGCAGTGCTTATCAATATGGGGCGTGAAAAGCCAGCTGCGCTTCAAGACATCAGTGGTGTGCAAGGCAGCACCTCTCTGGGCACACACCAGTTTGGCAGTTGCACCCTCGGGACAGTAGTAGTAGAGGTGGGGGGCAGAAACAATCATTGTGGAGTGGCCATGGGATGAATCCTCATTGGCTGGAGAAAGAAGGCAAAGATGGAAGAATAATGTTAACACATACATAGTTTATCGAAACTTTTGTGTCTCAAGTTAGATCTTTCAGTCAGTCCTTCCTTCTCAGCTACTATAAACGTAACTTCAGACCAGCTCCACCAATCTGTATCCATAAAGCTTCAGGTTAGAAATGATGAGGGATGTGGCTGTGGCTCAGGTTAAAGTCTGCCAGTTTCCTTCAGACATAGCTGAGATTTGTTTACAGTGGAAATTATTACTGAAGGTGCATCATCAAAATCTCAGCTTTCTTTAAATTTCGTTGAGTGTTGGTTAACAATTAGGTCGTATAACATAATGTCATATATACAACCATGCAAAATGCAGATTAAATTACAGTTCTTTTCATTATGATTTGCAGCTAAAATTGAGTAGGATTAAGTTCCATCCTGGCACCACCAGTCATCACATAAATAACCACAGTACCAATGTTAACAACAGTACAATATTTTTCAAGCTCTATTTCTGCACACTACATGCTTCCTGGTTTTTAAACACATTGAGACAGCTGTATCTTTCCTGTTCTTTATTTTGTACGTATAAATAACCTCCCGTGGGAGTTAAATCTCAAGATCCTCTTGGACAGCTAAAGCAAGAGAGTCAAACGCTGATGCATAAAGGATCTTATGTTAAAGTAGTGTAGAAATCTGACTATGTTCTGTTAAATAGCTTTCTTCACCACTTTGGCTGTGTGGTATCATTACTCCGACTGTGGCTTTCTTTCTCAAAGGACTGTTTACTGACACTGATCACATAACTTAATGTACATTCTTGGAACTGAAAAGGAAGCTGCAAGATGTTTCTTTACATTTTGCAAAAACCTTGTTCTTGCCTTCACGCAAATGTTTTTAACCACATCCTGTTCTCACTCTACTGCAGGAGTGGAACACATGGGTGATACACTCTTTAATGTTTGCTCTGAATGATTATTTCACTGCAGTAACACAACAAAATGAACATATTGTCAAGCAGCCTGAAGCTACAATCTCAGCCTCACAAAAAAACAAACATAATAATATTGCAAACTCATCTATTCAATGCATCTTCACTATGCAGCAACGGTACAGCATTAACACACTTAAATATGACTCCCATATAACCAGCATGTAAACTAACAGAACAACTTTTACTCCACTTAGATTGTTGTCATTCTTTGTTAAGGTTTGCTGTGTCTTTTTGCATCCATTATTGCTTTGCAATGCAAAGACAGGAAGCTTGTGTCTCAGTGTACTGCAGTAAAAGAGAACTATACATGTAACAGTGTATTGCATTGATCAAAGATTTTACAGTGCATGCGTGTGTTTGGTGAGGGTAACTGGTCAGTGCCAGGATTTAAGGAGTGGACTTCCTTCCTGACTCGTCCCAACGCGCAAACACAACTCAGTCTGCTCCTCCTGTGTGGCTCCTTACTATTCTCAGAAGGGCTCTGCAGCTGCTGTTGCTGCACAGCTTCTAAACAATTCAAGTAGGGTGCACCCCTTATTTCCGAGGTTAGTAGCAATGCCACTGGATGTGTTTCCCATCTACTGTCAAAGGTAAAACACATGCACTGATTTGACCAGCCAGTGACCTTTACTTTTTCATAAGCTGTGCATTTTTAATACAAAGAATTAATTTGTGTCTGTGCATGCATGTTACACACAGAGTGCAATGTATACGTGCCATGTTCCTGTGTGGGCAGCTGAACTCTGCACTGACCCATTGTGTGTTCGGAAAAGCAATAGGAAGAGCAGGGAGGGTGATTAAAGTGAAACCGTTGCCCCTGTGGCTGTTCCTGTCTCTGTGGTGTGGGACAATGGCAGGGGAAGTCCTTCTCCTCTCCTGTTTCACACCCACCCTGCCTTCCTCCTTGCCCTTCTTTCTGTAAACTTTTCCCAAGTTACTCTGGTTTTACTCACCCTCACCCAAATATACATTAACCTATCAGAGCCAATGATTGACTGCTGGGCTGGGACAATATTATACACATCAGATGTATATCAGATAACGTACTGACATGACCAGACCTGGCTAAAGGAGTGTTAGAGACAATGAGTTAGATTTCTTTTTTGCATTTGTCTTTGGTGCCAATTGGGTGTTGTTACTACAGTGTCTGCACTATCTGAGCTTGATGTGGCTGCAACCACAAGTACAAACAGAGCACACTCTGCTCTCTCTGGCACAGACAGGGTTTCCTTCATACTGTATGCACACCAGACATTCGTGTTTTGGCTCGATTATAGATCTAAGTTTCCTCCTCTGATTTCTTTTCTCAGGATCCTGATAGCCCCCGAGGGCCAAGAAACAGGCCCTCTTTGTTTTAACCCTGGATGCCACCTGTTTGCTTATGACAGCCAACTTTCTTTTTCCCATTCAGACATGCAACATATATTTTGTCTGTTACTATTCATGTCTTCATTTCTGCCCCAGCTTCTTAGAATATCTGAGTATTTAAGTTTTTTTATCCTTCTGTATTACAAAGATGCTAACAGAACAGATTACTAAACATACCCTACTGGTAAATCTGGTATCCTTTCACTTGCACAAAGTCTCTACCTGTGTTTGTAAAAGTGCTGCGTTGCCAAACACACACACCTCAGACCCCACCCTTTTCACACCCGCTGTAATGGTAATGATGAACCCATTACAGGGTGTTGATGAAACCAGCAGGAGGATCCCAGATTAGCCCATCAACACACACACAAACAGAAAGTGGAGAGTTTCAGTTGAAGCTCCTAACGTACTAATGCTTCAGGCATCTTTTCATCAATAGGATGTGTTAATTGTGGAATTTCAGACACTTCCTGCTAATAAAGGAAGTGGTACAGTGATGTAGGTAATCACGTTCATGGATCTCATCATCTTTTATTAATTACTGAAGCAATATGTGCAAACTATTCAATTCATGTATTTAATCCAGGCATCTTCCACTTAATCTACATTTACATTTAGGGCAGTTAGCAGACACTATTTTCCAAAGTGACTTACAATAAGTACATTTGTCACGATGTCACGAGAGAAACCATCATCTTCCTCTAAACTGTCTTTATAAAGTTAGCTCTGTGACTAACGGGTTGTGTCATTGCAGCTTCGTAAGCACATTTACAACACAATTACAACAGAGGTTCTTCATTTCATGTTCATTTCTCTTGTTTAGAATGTGTAAATGGGTATTTTTGTACTGTTGAAACTGTGATTATGACATAATTTTAACAAAATGACTCAAACATCCACTAGTTCAATTGTTTCCCCTCTTTCCCTGGGTCATTTCTGCTTTACACGTTACAGATGCATTGCTGAACTGTTTCTGTTATAGTTAACTGTTTTAGAGATTTACAAACGAAAGCACATTATGTTATTGATGTGACTGGAAGCTGAGTCGTGGCTTTATCAGTGGTGGTCAATGCTGTATCCTTGAGCCTCGTGTGGAAGACAAATGGTCACTTCAAGTATGAAGGCCACTGGACTTTTTTAACTCATCATTTCTGTTGCATTTTAAACATCAGATAGGAAATGTTCATCTTCAACTGATTGTCAGACCTTTAAAAAGGTTATAACCTCAAAAAGGAGAGAAGAAGGGAGCACCCCCTCCTCCATTGTCTACGTATTGCTCATGCAACATGTTCCCACACAGCTGCTGCACGTCAACATACAGGCCTGTGCTTGTCGATGAGACTGACCCAGGAAGCCATTTTTAATTGCTGGATCCTACTAATGATTTATTCGTTTAGGACAAGAGGGATCAATGCAGGACACCAGCTCAGTCACAACAGGAGGAGAAAGTAGTCGACCCAGAGATGGAGGTTTCACATCCTGTGGTGTTCATTGACCAGTTCTGACTGTGTGGCATTGTCTTCCATGCTTATCTGGACTGAGCGGAAAAGCAGCACTGATTATTGCTGTGTTTATCAGGCATGTTTAGGGGGGGAGGAACTCATTATTGGTGGTGGCACAAACAGCTGTTTTTATCAGAGGTTGAAAGGAAGGAAACCTCTAAACAAAGACGAGTTCACTGGGCTGAAGGGACACGTAAGACTTTAAGAGCTTTTTTATTGGAGCTGTGCAGTTTTGTGGGACTAAATCAAAGTCTTTAAACCCGGCCAACAAATTTGACTTAATTTAAGTTGTTGAGTATATCTCTTATTTTGCATTTGTGACATAAACATGTTGAGAATTTCAGCTGGATTTGAGTCAACCTGAAAGTTCAGTCGACATCACTTTTGCTTTTTGACAGATTTATCATGTGAGCTCATCTAAACAGACCAAATCCAAAAGTCGAAAACTGATAACCTCTGCAAGGTTTCAGTGTTTGAAGTGCGCCCGCTGCGCCCTGGAGGCAACAGCTGCTTCTACTCTCTCCTCCAAAGTCAGATGCCTACAAGCTCTCAAACCATGCCTTGAAAAAATGCCTGCACTTCATCACAGCTCCAATGTTAACACTCGAAAATTAATTGAAAAAGACCCAGGAAATGTGTAGATGGGTTAGTTGAGTCATCCAACTCTTCCTGCACACAAGGGCTTCCTTACCACCATTTCTGGTGAGACTTTTTGAAAAAGTTTAAAGCCAGTCATTTCCTCGTCAATTTCAGACGTGCCACTATAAAAACACTAAGGGCCCCGCTGCAGTTTCGGGTTATGTTATACAGGGTGGGTTTAAGGAGCATTTAGCTCTATCCCCCAGGGAGGGGCTTTAATACAGCCTCCCACCAGATGTTCCCTCTCCAAACAACAACAGCAACAAATCAAAGTCTGGAGACACATGAAACTGTTCCCTACAACTTGTTTCTACTGAGACAAGGACAGACGTGCAGCTGTTTCTGAAAACCATAAAAACTATATATACTTAACTAGTTAACACCATGGAATACCAAAGATATTGCCTGAGGTCTGTTAATATCACATGGGTGTTTATCACAGGGTAACAAAGTTACGTGTTATATTGGCCCTGTCATAGAAACTTGATAAAGCATTCAACAAATGACCCTCTCTATTACAGCCTCTGTGGACTTTGGTTTTTATCAACACAAACCTACTACAGAACCACTTCGCTCAACTTTGACCAAATCAAACTGTTTCCCATCAGAGTTTGTCGCTAAACAGAACCGTGTTGTGTGTCGGTGATGAAACCTCAGGTGGTGGATGTGTGGATGTGAGCGGTCTTACCTGCAGCCATTGAAAACAGAGCGGAGCAGAGCCACAGCATGAGCCTCATCCTCCTCAGTGCTGAGCGACACAGTAACCCGGCTTCCATCGCGTCTTTGAGGGCAGCAACAGAGAACCAGAGCGGTGTTCAAACCTGTTCTCCCTTCACGCAGAAACAAAGCGGATACTCAGCGTTTAGCAGACAGTTGGTTGATTCTTATCTCTGAACTTTGCGACGCGGATGCAACAGGAGCAAACTCGTAGTGAGTCTGCTCCTCCCCCTCAGACTGACCACACCCCCAGGACCTCGCAATCTGTATTCATTAAAAATATTAGTTTAGTTTAAAGTTTAGTCAGGAACTTCGGTTGACTTTTTTTTATCCTTCCCCAGTATGAGTCACACAAAGAAGTCATTGGATATACATCTCCACAAATGCTCCTTTAAGTATTCTTGTTTCAGTCCTGTTCTATTCTTTTATTATTACTGTATTTATGTTATTACTAGTTTCTGCATTCATTGCTTCTTTATTTACTCACTTAACTACCTTTTAATAATGGAGCTTCTCTGCAAACATTTTTCACTCCTTTGTGTTATAAATGGTTTGACAAATATTTTGAATCTTGAATCTTCCCATAATGCAGCCTGATATATCATTTTATTCCGATGGTTAATGTCCATATCTTACCAACACTTCCTGTTAACAAATCGATTTTTTTCAAGCTAAAACAGAATTGAGAAAACTCGTTCCAGACCAATATAAATGTGGTTCATGTGCAAAGTCACTGTCCTTCACTGTTTGGCTTTGTTTGTTTATTATCCAAATTCAAATGGTTACAGTTGATTAACATGTGTTGCATTAGTTATTTCTTTATAATACTTTAACTTCTGCTCATGTATGAGAATCTGTCAGTGGTCTGACAAAGTGGTTTCCTTTAGGATGCACTCATGTATTTATGCATCTTTACTTAATGTTTGTCTTGTTGATGAAATGACAATCAGAGCTTGCAAAGATGTTGTTGTACAGTTCAACTCAGTCAACTATGACTAGTAGGTTTCTGTGTCTGTTTGTGTCGCAGACCTCAACTACCATCAATGTCCACATTGTTGATGAGAACGATAACGCCCCAGAGTTTCCTGAGGAAGAGTATGTCACTGTTCTGAGTGAGGGACCTGACACAGTGGGTGCCACCATTGCCACAGTAACAGCCATCGACCCAGATGAGGGTCTGAACGGCACCTTGCGATATGCGATCGCTCATGGCAACCTGATCCAGACCTTTCACATCAACAGCATCACGGTACGACATGGACGCCAGCACACTGTGGCTGTACTCACATCATTAAACAACATGTTAATCTTCTGTGTGTGATGTGTGTGTTTAGGGGAGAATCACTGCTGTGAAGGAGCTGGACTTCGAGATCAGCAATGGACACTACGCACTGGTTGTCACAGCAGCGGACCAGAGTCTTAACCCTGCTCTTCGTTTGACATCTAGCACAACAGTAATAATGCAAAGTGCAAATATATGTGGTTTAAACTTATCACAAGAATCCAGTGCTTGTCACTGAAAAAGGAAATTGTCTAACAACTTAAAATAATAATTTAATTGATAAATCAATACTTCACCTCTGTCTGGATGAATGTGTTAAAAAACAAACTTCCTCCCCTTTTAGGTGCTCGTCAATGTCCTAGATGTGAACGATGTGACACCCACTTTCCCAAGAGCCTATGAGGGACCCTTCGAGGTCACTGAGGGCCAGCCAGGACCTCGGGTCTGGACACTCAGAGCCAGTGATGAAGACTCTGGACTCAATGGAAAAGTGGAGTACAGCATCACCGGTGGAGACCACCAGAGTTAGTACCGCACTGTTTTTCTGTGTGGATAGTGATATATTATTAAATCCTGTACCTCTGAGCCTCTCTATCTCTTTCTCTCTGTCAGATGAGTTCATGGTCTCTCCAGTGGAAGGCGAGCTGCGGGTGAGGAAGGATGTGGAGCTGGACAGAGAGACCACGGCCTTCTTCAACATCACTGTCACAGCCCGAGATCTGGGCACCCCGTCTCGCAACAGCTCGGTGGGTCTTATATCATCTTTAACAGTTGGATCTTCCAAGCTTTACTTTACTCCTGTGCTGTAATTTGTAAAATAACTGCATTCTGAACAGTTTGATTTACAACAAACTAATAAGTAATACCACTTTCAAAAACGATACTGCTCTACCAGATCCACAATCTTCAGATGGTAGTTAAACCTACAGTCCATCTTGAAAAAGAGCCTTGGAGCTCAACATGATGTGTTGTGTTTGCCACAAGTTATAGTTCTCTCACACTTATTAAAAACAGGCCATGTTAATGAGGCATGGAACTTATTATAACTGAGCATGAACCACTAATGTTACTTCTGACTGGTTTCTCCAGGTGGTGGTGGGGGTCCAGGTCCGTGACATCAACGACAACGACCCAGTTCTCCTGAACCTGCCTTACAACACCAGTGTGAGCGAGGGCGCCTCCATACACACCTCTGTGGCCAGAGTCCAAGCACGTGATGCGGACAGTGGGCTCAATGCACTGCTCACATATAACATCACCGCTGGCAACTGGGATGGAGCCTTCTACATCAATGACACAGTGAGAGAAATGGATGTGGTTTAAGCAGAAAGGCAGAAAAATGCAACTTGCTGAAGAGGTGAAGGTGGAGCAGGTGGTGGAATAAGTGAAACCTGCAAAATGAAAGCTTGTGATGGGATAAGTGCTTCAGCTCCATCTCATCTAAAGTCAGCATTTCACACTTGTACACCCTTGATACAGATACATTTACAGTTCAGCAGCTTTTGGCATTGTACACATTTTTGGATTTAAAGCATAAATATATCAGTGTGTACAAATACTGCATGTTCTTAAGAGAAGGGAGGGTGAAAAGATGAGTTGCTGTAGTGTTACAAGGTTGTACCTGCAGTTAATTCTGGATGAAGTATATCGTTATATGAATAATTGAACTCTAAGCACACACACGATTAGGTTCCTCCTCTCTGTGTCTCTCAGACAGGTGTGGTGCAAGTGAACAGACCGCTTGACAGAGAGCGAGTGGCTGAGTATCAACTCACCATCACTGTCAAAGACAACCCGGAGAACCCCCGCATCGCTCGCAGGGTAAACCCACTCTTCTGTTCACACGTTTCACACAAGCATTTAAAGTCATAAATTCCACGGAAACAATCAGAAACCACTGCCAGTGGCATCTTGAATTTTTAGGCTCAAGATGTAACAATTCCTGCAAAATCTTTGATCACAAAGTGAATGTGATAAAGTCGATAAATACACATTACTCATAACATGTGAAGGATTTTCTGCTGATTTTCCAGTGCAGAATCTAATTTCAAAAAACTGTAAAAAGAAAATGTTGGACATTTCTGTTCTAACCTGTCCTATCTTTAAGCAATATTGTGGTTTCTGGCAATATGTTCCATATTATACTAACAATAATCCAACACACACAATTTACTTGAAAGGACAGAATGAGAATCAACAACAACATGGTAGTGAAGTTGTTTTCTAAAAGCTGTAATGTGTCATGTTTGAAATGCTTCCTCTGCGGCAAAAGGTGAGAAACTGTTAGCTAACAGCTTTCCTCCACTGTGTTGAACTGTTTGTGGTCTGATAAACATGTTTTTCTTTCTTCCTCACATACATTCTTGCCTTTGTGCTATGCCCCCTTATCCATTCCTACCACAATTTCTTTATCCCACTTTTTTTCCCACTCCACCAGGATTCAGACCTGTTAGTGATCACCATTCTGGATGAGAATGACAACAGGCCCATATTCACCAGGACCAGTTACAGGGCTGAAATCACTGAGAACTCTGAAGCAGGTACCAACCAAGTTTGTGTGTCTTTCACCTAATGCACAGAGCACTGAGCTGAAAAACCACTGTCTGTTCCACTTCCTGACTTTGTTTGCATATGGCTCATTTTAGTGTTTTTTTTACTCTGAATGTGGAGAGGAGAGACGGTTTTTGTATTGTTGTCAAGAACTTGTAAGAAGATGCATTAAGATGACCTGCATCCAGAATATGAGTCATAACCTCTGTGTTTATCAGTTATCAAACTGGTAGGAGACACATCAACAGGTGCCAAGTGACTTAAAAAAAAGAAAGAAATCAAACCCTACTTCTCCTGTCCCCTCTTTGTCTCTGCCCATCCTGTAGACAGTACAGTAACAGTGCTGAATGGGCCCGTGCTGGCTCAGGATAAAGACATCGGACCTAACGCTGTAGTGAAGTATCGCCTGCTGGGAGCAAGAGTGGACCTCTTCACTGTGGATGTCAACACTGGTAACATTATGACTCCTCAAGAAGCACACACAGAGGAACAATGCAGGGCAGCTGGTAATGTCTCTGTATCTGCCTCCAGGGGTGATTCTTGTGCGTCAGGGGGCCAAGTTGGACCGCGAGGCCTTTCAGGAGCCTCGTGTCGAGCTGTTTCTGGTTGCTGAGGACATAGGAGGTTTGAACAGCAGCGTCCCTCTGACAGTTACTATCCTGGATCAGAACGACAACCCTCCTGTCTTCAGTCCATCCAGTTTCAGTGTTCGACTCCCTGAGAACAGCCCCACTGGTGCGTGGATTGTGCCCAAATGATCTGTGTGTAGGAGTGTGCTGGGAGGAATATGACACAATATTACATAGGAATATTATATATAATCTACCAGGTTTTAGTTACTGACAGACAAATATAGGGAATTCACCTTTAAAGTCCCATCCTGTGATTATCTGCACTTAGATTAGGGTCAGGATTAAAGGTTTTACATGTCACAATAATACAAGCATGTTTGTGCATGTGTGTTTGCATCTCACTCATTACTCTGTTCAGGTGTGGTGGTGACTCAGCTGTCCGCCACTGACGCTGACTCCGGCTCTAATGGCTGGCTCATGTATCGCTTGGAAAGTGGTGCTCAGGACCGTTTTGTGGTAGACCCGCTCTCCGGCGCTGTCTTGGTCGGCAACAACACCCTTGACAGAGAGGAGCGTGGTTCCTACCGCCTTGTTGTCATGGCAACAGATCGTGGCACACCCCCTATGTCGGGCACAGCCACCCTGACAGTCATCTTGGATGATGTAAACGACTCACGGCCCCGCTTTAAAGAGCCCTTGACCATGATAAGCGTCAATGAGTCCACACCACCTGGCGTGGTGGTGGCCACGCTGACCGCTGAGGACCAAGATCTGCATCCCCGGCTGGAGTATTACATCATCTCAGTGGAGGCAAAGGATGATGGGAACAACCCAGTAGAGGGCCTGCAGGAATCGTTTGGCATAGATTTACACACTGGTGAGTCATGGAGCTTACCGACCTGTAATATCTTGGTTTGGAAAGCCTGTTAATACATTGAATAAACTTGGTCTTATTTTTGGTACAATAATTATGTGAAATGGTCATTTGTTTAAACTTTCAGGGGCAGTGTTTGTACGCAACCCGATAAACAGAGAGCAGGTAGCTACATTTGAGATCATTGTGTCTGTACATGACAATGCAAGTGATGTCATCGACAAGTCAGGGAGCGTTCCTAACGGTGAGTTCATTCCCGAACTCTTCAATTTTATATGTATAAAGTTATTTTCACTCTTCTCTCTTTCAACACGATCCTCTCTCTTCTCAGCGAGGCTAACCATCAACGTGTTGGATGTAAATGACAACGCTCCTCGTTTCCGGCCTTTTGGCGTTTCCAACTTCACAGAGAAGATTTTAGAAGGAGCCCAGCCGGGCACAACACTGCTGTCAGTGTCAGCTGTGGACCCCGATAAAGGTCCCAACGGCCAGGTCATCTACCAGCTGCTCCACTTGCCCCGAGGGGGATACGTTAGACTGGAGGACCCCTCTGTTGGTATGAGCCCTCCGTTGGTATGACCCTTAGCAACAAGCTGCTGAAGGCTGCGGATTGCTCAGCAAACTGTCGAAATAACCAAAGATACGTTTAGTTTTATTTAATATAAATTATACATTTTTCAGACAAGTAATGTATAGTGTTATTATTTTCTTATTGCAATGCTGATCTAGAGCATTAAAACTGTACAGGTGAATCAAAACCATAAATGGAGCAACACTTATTAGGTAGTTCAGGCAATTCTCTGTCCTACACCCCCTCCTCATGTGGAGGTCTGCTGCCCTGTGTCAGTACCCCTGTCCGGCGATTCACCCTCCCCACCACCCCAGCATCCACCTATAGGCTCTGACAGACGGGTTAAAAGTAATGCTCACTCCCCATTATATCAATGTAATCATATTTTAGAATAATGAAGTGGAAGCTTAGGTGTCAAACTCTAACTAGGTTCTTCTGCTGAACATTTCAAACATGAGTTGTTTGACTGAACTCTCACTGTGTTAATAATCTTTCAGGTAAGATTGTGGCCAATCAGACGGTGGATTTCGAGCAGGTACAGTGGCTGAATTTCACAATCAGGGCCCGGGACCACGGAACTCCTCCTAGAATAGCTGAGCTTCCAGTTTATCTTCGCATCGTGGACGTCAATGACAACAACCCTGTCTTTCTACAACCTTCATATCAGGTACTGAACAAATTGTTGAGCAAATGAGCAGAAATGTAGAGCAACTTTAATTTAGAAAATTGTAATTTTTTGTGTTGGTGTAATAACACTGAAGACAGAGTGACAGTGTTTTAATGTAATTAACTGTACCTGTGTTTGACAAAGTTTGACCTGTGTGAGACATTTAAAATGTATTATGAGAGCACCACATATATTTTTGTGTTATATGGACTTACTGTTATCGATTAACTTCTAGCTAAATATTCTTTCTAAAGTCGTTTTTATGCACCCAAGCTGGCAACAGCCAGTGGCCAGGAACATTATGTTTTCGAGTTGTCTGTCCGTCTGTCCCATTCTTTGAACAAGTCATCACAAGAACACCTCGAGGGAATTTATTCAAATTGGTACAAAGTTAAAGTCGGAGGGAAGGATGAACTGATTAGAAATTTGGAGCTCAAAGGTGAAGTTCACAGTAATTTAACAAAAACACATGTGTTGCTTTGTGATCACAACGTCTCAGGAACACTGCAGAATCCTTTCTAATTTGGTACAAACGATTTTGGTGGTCAAAGTCACAGTGACCTCACAAAACATGTTGACATTATTTCATTGTGTGTCTGAGCCTGTGTCTCTGAGCCAAAGTGTGTGTTTATCTGTGTTTGTAGGAGCCTGTGTTTGAAAACGTGAACCTGGGCACCACAATAGTTCGTGTCAGTGCTACAGACGCTGATTCTGGCCTCTTTGCTGTCATTGAGTACAGCCTGGTAGACGGAGAGGGCAAGTTTGCTATCAAACCATCTACTGTAAGTTAACACATCAATACAGTGAGTTCTAAAGTAACTATGCTCTTTGTTTCTTTTACTTTACTCATGATCATTTCTAACTAGATCTGAATTTATGACAATCTCATTATTCATTATGAAGAATGTTTCTTTCAGGATATTTATGGAGTTTGCAAATCCATTGCTTGAAATCTTGCCAAAAAGGCCAAAACAAAGAAGTTCATAACCTTTTAAAGTAGAGTGTCCACATGTGAGCAAAGTCCACAGAAATGTATTTTTTCATGATTTACTGAAAGGTAAGAAGTGATCTGCATTCAGGCGTCATTTTGTATTTTTTCTCCAAGCAGAGCTGGGTGTCGACACCGAAAGGAATCCAACTTGGAAATGAAAGTTTAAACAAAGCATTTGAATGTGATAAAATACGATCTAAATAATTTAACCCCATTGCTCCATATCTGTCAAGTACACACTCACAAACAATCTAACCACCACTCCCCTCAGTAGTTGTACTTCCTTCCTAATTACCCGTCTCCTCTGTGTCAGGGAGAGATCTACATCCTCTCTCCTCTGGACAGAGAGACAAAGGACCATTACACTCTGACTGCCGTTGCTCGTGACAACCCCGGTGGCAGCCCCAGCAACAGACGTGAGAACTCTATCCAGGTAAAGATCCACTATTGTAATCACACAATGATCTTTTCTGACGACCATGTCTGGCTTGAATATTTGTCTGATATTTTGACTAATCTACACTCACAGAGTTAGTACATATTAACACCAAATACCATCTACAGTGGCCCCATTGGCTAAACTCCATGTGAATGAGAAACCAGAAGATCAGCGATGGAACATCAAGAGCCTTGTTTCACATAGTTAAAGTTTATGTCATCTGTAGGTATTGCTGCTCAAATCTGTGATGAAAATCTGCTGATTATTATTACTGACTGATACACGCTGATGTTGGATTTGGCGTCCACTATGTATCCTGAATATGAACTTTTCTAGATTATAACTTTGTGTCCAGAATGTTCAGTGACTGACTTCCTCCTCATACTTGATCCGCCTGTTGATGCGCATCAGGTCCTGGTGACGGTTCTCGATGTCAACGATTATCGACCACGCTTTACAGAGCGAGTGTTCAGCACCAGCGTGTTTGAGAACGAGCCCAGTGGTACGTCTGTGATCACCGTGAAAGCTACTGACCTGGATGAAGGAGAGAATGGAGCGGTGCTGTACAGCATGTTGGGATCACATTCAGGTATAAATATGTTCTTAAAAGCCTCAGAGGGGTCACTCAACACTTCCTGTTTGCTTTAAGTATCTTTAAGATGCTTCTGCAAATTGATTGGGCTCCACATATGACAAAATTAATTGATTGGATCTAGTTTAGACAGGCTTTTGTACAAAGTCATAAATTCCAAGGACATCTGTTGATGTGTATGAATCCACATGTGCAAAGCTTGTAAAGACCAAGACGATGGAAGCTGTAATTGTTGCCATATTTGGGTAACTCAACTGACGCCTCCCAACTGATCATCTTGTAATTGCTGATTTTTTATTCAACAACTAGTGTGCAGTATTTTTGGCTCATACTGTGTGTAGTTTCTGAAATATGGAGGAATTAAATAAGGGTAGTTAACACAAGTTGTAATTTTTTTTATTCTGTTGTCTTGACATGGAATGACACTTCAAGTATTATGTAGAATAGAGTAATTATAAAGGAAATGAGAAATAATTTCTTTTAATCCATCTACAGCGGTGCCTTGTGAAAAAAGTGATGGGGTCTGAATGCTTCCTGAAGTCACAGTTAATCTTTCCTTGGTCAATAAACGTTCTCTCTCCCTTTAGATGCATTTTCCCTGGACCCAAACACAGGGCTGGTGCGTTCTCGCCGTCTGCTTCAGTCGTCTGAAAGTTTCAACCTGACTGTGGTGGCCACCGACCAGGGCCGTCCTCCCCTGTGGGGCACTGCAGACCTGATCATCACAGTCATAGACGTCAATGACAACAGACCTGTGTTTGTCAGGCCAGCTAATGGAACCATCATCCATATCTCAGAGGTATCCTCTTCATTGTGTGATCTTAGCATTCTTATTTTTGGTGATGTATGGTTACCAATCCTATCCTCTTGATTTCTTTTTCATAAGTCCCTATAAGAGCAACCTCCCCGTGTATGACCTATTCAAACCAATATAATACACTAAAGACGGCTGTGGTGCTCAGGAGTTTCCCGACTAATAAAAGACACTTATTTGCTGTGTATCAGCATTTTAAGCTCAGTATCAGGAACTGCAACATATCCAGAATATCTGATCCCTACATTTAGCAGCTTTAATAAATGTATCTACCAGTTGAAAGACATGTGGTTTTACTTAACACCTCCAACATGAATAACAAAAACATGTTCCAGTTACACAGTTTGTTCACACAATCACACACTCTCCATGCAGGAGCAGCCTCCCGGTCTACCTGTGTATGAGGTGCACGCGACAGACTCTGACGAGGGCGTGAATGGAGAGGTCCGCTACGCCTTCCTGCAGACTGGAGCCGGCAACAGAGACTGGGAAAACTTCCACATCGATCCCATATCTGGAGTCATCGCGACGACTGTGAAACTGGACCGTGAAAAACAGGCCCTCCATAGTGTGAGTCAACTGTCTGTGAGTCTGTGCAGTCGATTTACGTAACTGTGTATGTCTCTAACTGAATCCAAACATGTCTCTCAGCTTATCATTGTTGCCCGTGACATGGGCCAGCCAGTGCCTTATGAGACCACACAGCCTCTGCAGGTGGCGCTGTTGGACATTGATGACAATGAACCCGTCTTCCTCAAACCACCGGTGAGAATACGCTCTAATGGGGTAATGTGTACTTGAGATCTTCTATTAAGTTTGTGTAATTGTATGTGTTGTCTTTGTGTGTGTGCACCTCAGCGTGGCAGCTTGCCTTACCAGTTGTTGACCGTGCCGGAGCACTCCCCCCCAGGGACTGTGGTGGGGAACATAACCAGAGCTGTGGATGCTGATGAGGGCTCCAATGCCATCGTCTACTACTTCATTGCAGGTGACGCTGTGATCTACACACATGGCCACATGATCTTGCTGTTCATGATGAAAATTGTAATGACAATCTTTTACCCATCAGAGAATGTATTATATTATTTTAGCCAAAGTATGTTGGTTTGATTCCAGAAGATTAAGGGCATGACTGTGCAGTTTATGTGGAAGCTTTTGTAACCATTGTGCTAAAGACCTCATACTTGAAAGGATTCATGAGGAGGTTTCTTTAGATCAGTGTTTTCACTCACTCCATTCCTTTAGTGCTTTAAATAGCTGAACATTCTTCATATCTTCCTGCAGGGGGAAACAGTGATGGAATCTTCGGCTTGAGTCTTGACGGAGAGTTGAAGTTACACAAGGATCTGGACCGGGAGGAGATACCGGTCTACTCCATCATCATCAAGGCCTCCAGCAACAGGAGCTGGACGCCTCCCAGGGGTCAGAGGGCAGCACGGGCCAAAGCGCTGAACCCTGCCCGTGACCCCAGCCTGCTGGAAGTCCGCATTCAACTGGAAGACATCAACGACCAGAAACCACGCTTCACTAAGGCGGAGTACACTGCAGGTAATCTGCTCTCTTACATTTACTGTCTGATGTTGTGTGTAAAACCACCATAACTTCTTTGCTTCCCTGTTCCAGGAGTTGCAGCAAACGCCAAAGTGGGTTCAGAGTTGATCAAGGTTGTTGCTATAGATAATGACATAGGCAACAACAGCTTGGTCCAATACCACATCGTTACCATCCGTTACTTCCAGTCACAGAGCAATGGAAGTGAGGACAGTGGCAGCATCTTCACCATCGGTGAGTGTCTTTACGTACAGAATTCAGACGGTTTGAAAACACATAGTGAAGATCTACAGCTCATGAAGTATTTACGTGCATGTATTTTGTTAACATGAAATTAACAAGTGCCAAAATTCAGCTGTTTATCATGTAAAGTAAATCAAAACTTCCTATTCCCACTCCAGCCAGGAAAGTAATCACAACTACTTCAAATACCTCATAATACTTAATACAATGACTTCAGGTAGAGCTGTTTAGACATTATTTAAAAGGGTGAAGCCATTCAAATTGAATATTTTTCACTGTCACCAAATCCCATGAAAAGTCTGTAGTCTGTGTCTCAGTATTTGGCTTTTCAGTGTTTTCAGCAGTGCTGGAGCTCTATGGCAGTACAATAAGATGCATCAGACTTTAGACACACAAGAGATATTAGTTAACAGGATATTTCAATCTTTGGTTTTGTTTTTTCTTTGGATTTGTTGACAAGAAAACAAACATTTTATGTACAAATTTATATAAATGCAACATAATTAGTTTTCTATGTTTGTGAATCTGAATTGAATGCTTTCTTTTTACATGCGAAGTTGAACTGAAATGGCTTCCACAAATCTTCAGAACTAACTAACCCGTCATTCAATAGATGTGTATTTGCTTCCTGCGCCTCCCTACTATGTAATTCCCTTTATCTTCTCATGAAACCGTGTGTGTATTTTTGACACATCATACAAAATACAGTCCCATATTTTATTTACTTTTTATATTGAGAGCTCGTCTTTGCAATGAATCAAATACCTGTCCTAGGCTGAGACAATATTCTCTGCCACGACTTCCACAGGTTTGACAGATGGTATCATCAGAACCTACGACCTCTTCACCGCCTACAATCCAGGCTACTTCCAGCTGGAGATTTTGGCGTGCGATTTTGCTGGACACAGCACAACGACCAACGTGAACATCTATATTCTCCGTGATGACCAGAGGGTCAAGATAGTCTTCAACGAGATCCCTGATTTGGTGCGAGAAAACCAGGAGGACTTCGTCAACTTGCTGTCCAACATCACTGGAGCTACTGTCAACTTAGATGACATACAGGTAAAAAGCTTTTCCATTGTGAGCTTTACACTTTGTTGCGTAAGTCATAAAAACATCTGACATTATGGTCTCACTTTGCTTTTCTTCAGTTCCATGTGGACAAGAAAGGCAGAGTGAATTATGCACAGACTGACATGCTGATCCATGTCGTCAACAATCAGACCAACACCATCCTGGATGTCGAGAGGTAGACTGTACCTTCCTTCATGAACTAGATGTTTCACTGCAGAGCTACATGATGACACTGACTGTATTTACATTAAAGCCTCTCTACTTCCACACCAGTATAGAGGAATCTCCTGCTCATGGATTCTATTCTGAGTTTACATGTGTCCTGGTGCTTCTTGTGTTGCAGGGTGATCCAGATGATCGATGAGAACAAGGAGCAGCTGAGAAACCTGTTCAGGACGTACAACGTTGTGGACGTTCAGCCGGCTGTCAGTGACAAACTGCCTGACGACATCTCCACGCTACAGGTGTGTGGGCCTCGGACTCCCACAACCACTCAGGTTATCGTGAATGTTTGTTGTTTGGAGGCTTTAACTCTTTCTCTCTGCTTCTCGTTGACAGCTGGTCATCATCATCCTGGCTGTGCTGCTGTGCTTGGCAGGAATTCTGTTTGTCACAATGAACTGGCATTATCGTAGAGTGTAAGAATCATTCAGCTTTCTATAAAAGGGCAAATTCTTTTGACATACAGTTTTACTTTGCATCGAATTATTTGAAACCTGCTCAGGTATGGACTGCGGTTTACACTCTCAGTCTGAGCAGTGATATCAACATGTTTATCATCTCTTGACTGTCTCTGTTCTTGTGGTGCAGACACCAGAGGAAGCTCAAAGCCATCGTTTCCGGATCAACTGGTGAGAGGAAGCTTCATTAAGGGCACGGCCCCGCCAGCTGTGACAATATCTGCATATCATTTAACTGTAGAAAGGCTGTTTTACTGATAAAATCATTTGTCCTCCACCATCCAGGGAACCAGGGTCTAATGGATATCCTGGACATGCCTAACACTAACAAGTACTCTTTTGAGGGGTAAGATAACGGCTTTGTTTTCACAGCTCTAGGGCACACGAGGGAATTCTCTCCAAATATCACTTTGTGTTGTTTTCCTGCAAAATTTCATTGTTTGTCTGAAGATTAAGGGCAGAAATCATTGGAGACTCTGGGAGGTCACGGTACTAAACCAAGAGATATTTGCAGAATATAAACTTTTTTTGTGTGCACTAACCATCGTGTAATGCGTTAACTTGTGTTTCCTTTCTTAAAAAAATAAATACACACATATATATATTTGAAACAGACATAAGTGTATCAATCCTATCTAAGTCTCAGCAAGAAAGCAAATAAATGTGTTTCTCAAAATGTCACACATTACTTTTTCAAATAATTTTCTTAATTTACCGTTTGACCTTCTGATTCTACCGTATTTGCCTTCGTAGGGCGAATCCCGTGTGGCTGGACCCATTCTGTCGTAACCTGGAGCTGGCTGCCCAGGCTGACCACGAGGATGACCTGCCTGAGAACCTGAGTGAGATCACAGACCTGTGGAACAGCCCTGCTCGCACTCATGTCAGTACCAACATGAATCTGAGTTCATGATATATTTACTGTATATATCTCACGGATTAGATTTTTATTCTCAACCGTTATTCACTCTCTGAGTCGACCCCACTGCACAGCCGTACCCTCACAATATTTACTAAACAGTGTGTTTTCCATACAGGGTACATTTGGTCGAGAGCCTCAAGCGAAGCCAGAGGACGATCGTTACCTGAGAGCAGCCATCCAGGAGTACGACAACATTGCTAAACTAGGCCAGATCATGAGGGAGGGGCCTATCAAGGTGAGAAACCTGCATGTGAGGTTATCCAGGGAAACGTTCACACACATTCACACGTGAACACATTCACTCTGTCATTGGATATGTACTGTCTCCCTCAAGCCTCATCAAATCATTAGAGGATACCAGAGGAGAGGTGGATTTGAGGGCTTGAGATCCACATAATTAGATTCTTGCTGATGACCATTTATAACAACTGTTACAGTGAGTGTGTGAGATGTTTGATCCAAACTGCTGTCGTGTCAGGGGTCCCTGCTGAAGGTGGTCCTGGATGACTACCTGAGGCTGAAAAAGCTCTTTGCAGCTCGACTCGTCACTGTATCCACCAGCCAGGGAGATCACTCATCAGTCACTGAGGTGGGCTGTTTGCACCGACTGCTCCTCTCTGACAACGCTGGAGACTGATCTTACTTTCCTCTGATTTCCCATTCTGACGTCCTGTCGGCTGCCGTGGAACTTTCTCTCTGCTAATCTATTGTCTCACTGAATCTTTTACTGAACCTGATTTGATTTGTCTCCTGAAAAGTTTCCCTCTGGTTTGCCTCTATCCAGCTCGTCCTCACAAATCTGCTCTCTTGTGTAGTCTATATAAAGGCTTGATTCATTCTCATCTCCTCTCCTTCAAAAGCTGATCCAGAGCGACCTCGATGACGATGAGGACGAGCGTCTGGGCATGGGCGGAGGGCGTGGCACTCTGCGCTTCAAGCACAAGCTTCCTGTTGAGTTGAAGGGTCCAGAAGGTGTGCACGTGGTCCACGGCAGCACAGGTACCCTCCTGACCTCTGACCTTAACAGCTTGCCAGAGGACGACCAGCGGGCCCTGGCGCGCTCCCTGGAGGCGCTGAATGCAGACGGAGGGCTTTATTGTGAGCGCAATGCCCGCACAGAGTCTGCGAAGTCCACCCCGATGCACCGTCACAAGGACGGAGACACCCTGTCAGAGAGTCCCTTGGAGATCACAGAGTTATGACTAGCCGAGGCCTCGCTGGTCTGAGTGCGATCATCACTCGTGTGTGTCCTTGTGCCTCTGCGTCGCCACCCTGCCGAGGTAAGGGAGGACCGGAGGAGGAGTGTGTGTAGTCTAGGGAACCTCATCGGCCAACCGCAGTGCATCGGTGAGACCAGAGGATTGAGTCCGGTTTGGTTTATCTTATGTTGAAGATGGTCCCACTTCTGATGTTTCAAGAGAAGGCTCATTCAAAAGACCTGTAGGAAACATCAAATCAAGCAGGACACTGTTCTTCAGCGAGACAAAATCAACTGTTGTCATTGACTTTCATCCAAAGAGCCAAGTGGAAAAGAAAGATGAACCCTCCCTGTGGGAGCAGCTTGTTGATGTATGACCTCTAAATCAACTGAAGGTGCCTCATTCCCACTTCTCCTTTTGAAGTCACCTGGACTGCAGACACTCATACCTACACAAACACACACACAGACCAGCAGATGGCCATGCAACACTGAGCTAATGACACAATTCCTGATCATGTTCTAATGTTTTTTCTAATTTAAGAATATAAAAAATGAGTGCAGAAGGAGTGAGCCTGGAACAAAGACTTCTCTCTTTCAGGTAATTGATACTTTCTGTCGCTAAGAGTTATCAATGGCCATTTAATGCAGACAAGAGCACTTTGAATATTCCCTCCGGTGAAGCTTCAGAGTGGATTTTCACCAGGAGAAAGATGGAAAGGAACCTGACCACTGTAAAATGGTGACAGAGCAGTAGTGAACATTCACACCGTGATCCTACTCTCACTTTATAGCATGGACTGAATCAGCTACGCACACGAAGACTCCTGAGATGATCAGCGAAGGTGGATGAACATCATTTCACGGGAGAAAAGAGGAAAAAACTGTCGTTTATGATTAATTTGATATTGAAGGCTGAACATATTGATGGAATTTAAATAAATATGAATTATCCCATTTTTATAGACATTATTAAGATGGCATTGTGCCCACAGAGACTTCACACTGCCAACTGAGGGAGTAAGAGTCAACGTTTGCTTTATTTTTTTATTTTCTAGAAAATGCGATGGAATCAAAAGATATTTTTGAAGATAAATGCTGGCTTACCAAATTAGGTAAAAAGAATAACTCTGAATGTTTGGAGTACGTGTATATTGTGCTATGGTGACATGTATGTTCTATTTTCCTTTATATGACAATTGACAGTTTCTGACGAGTGGTGTTTTTTAAATTTCTTTTTTTTTTTATATTCTCATTTTGTAAGTTTTTATTTCTTTGTCGTTATTGTCACCAGCCCTGAGATCTGTGTTGGGAAATGTTGTTGAATGATGTGATAATAAAAGAAATATGCAATGACCTCTGACCTCAGTTGGTGGGAGGGGAGCCAGAAACAGTGAAGCAAATGATGCAGCAAAATAAAATCCAAGCAGATACCAACAGTCCGAATATCTGAGAAAACTTAATGACCCATGAAACTAAATATTTGTCCCCATGATGATTCCAGTTGACTTCTATTGTTCTCAAAGGTCCAATCTGAGCAGACATTTCAAGTGCAACAGACCAATACTAATAAAAACATGGCTATTATATTAGTGTACTGAATTCTGGTGGGACCTGCCAGAAATACCTGCATCCCTGCATGTCTATATGTGGCGTTTCCCTTGACAATAAAGTTTCTCAAAACTCAGAAAGCTAAGGGCCTGGTAAATACTGCCATCTAGTGGTTGTAGGAAGAAAATAATCAAACTCAGGTTTTAGCACATCACTCCATCCTTTTATTGTTACATAGAAAAGTTCCCATCAGAAATATTTCTCCAACAGCTTGAAACAGGCTGAAGGGGCAGATGACTCCGCTCCTCTTCACCGCTGCCGCTCACACTGCTCGGCTCGCCGTGCTTGCTGAAGTCGCGGTGGTGGTGGTGGTGGCGGCGGCGACGGTGGTGGTGACTGCATTCTTCTTCATTGTCTTATTCAGCTGTAGGCAAAGAAACATTTATTTTTCGGGGTTAGGATTTCAGCAGACGACTAGTGACAGAATTTGTCGTGACTGTTTTCCTAAACTGGAAACAACTTTGTGGCTTAAAATAAGCAACATCTGTACTTTTCCAGTCTGTCTATCCAGAGGCAAACAGGTCACTACTCACCTCCTCAAACTTGTGGATCTGTCTGATGAAAAAGTCTCCATACCGACGAGCAACTTTAGTGTCAGCAATGTGGATCATGTCCTGTGGAAGAGAAATTAACAGAACTTCTTTAAACACAACACTGAGCCATATAACCCCCCCTCACTTTGTGTTTCCTACATGTGAGACAACGTGGCCCTGCTGTAAGAATAACAGGATCCATCTGAACTCTACTGTATCTTTAGAAATGTATCAAGGACATCACTTTGACTGAACAGACTTTTACACACCTTGTCAATATAAAAGTCGACCTCAGAAGCGGACTGGAACTCTCCTTCCAGAGCTGAGATGCCGCTGGTCCACACAAGGTTCTTCATCTTGTGTTTGAAGACGAGCAGCTGGATACGGAACTCCTGCTCTGTCATGTCCAGGAAACCTGCCAGCTTGGCTACTGGCATTGTGGTGTAGAGCTTCAGGAAGCTGTGGGGACATATTGAGACTTAGATGATGTGTTCAGACATCCTGCGACCACATTCTAGTCAAGAGGCTTCCCGAGATAAAAATATAAGTGTTTCTAAAAGACCAGATTAGTTAAGAAAAACTAAATTACATGAATCCTAAATGTCTTGTTTTTAGTTTTATTGCCACCTAATACAGTTATAGCAGTGACCCACTCAGGATGAGAGTATGCTCTACCTGCGGATGGTGGAGAGCTGCGCCTGCTGCTGCACTTCCTCGGTAAAGACCTTCAGCTGCTGCTGGAAAGGTTCTTTGTGGTAGTTGGGGTGGACATTGTCGTAATTTGGCACCACAGGCGACAAGAACTTCGGACAGGCGAAGCTGAACTGTTCCTCAAACACCTGCAGGTCTCTGATATGGAAACAAACAACACTTCATTCAAGACGGCACCTGTTACCCACAGTGCACAGCAGTAAAAGATGGGCAAAAAGATGGAACTAAATCCTCAAAACCCAATGAAGCTAGTCGGCCCAAAGACCCCACAATCAAATACACAGCATCACAGTGAAACGGTTCAGTATTTCTGTACTTTCATGCTCATCTTTGATAAAACAGAAGAGATTTTAAAAAACTCTGTCGAGTAGAAAAGATGTGAGAGAAAAGTGGTGAGGGAAAACACCAAAATAAAATCAGAAAAACCTCTACATCAAATACATTTGCTCCACTGTGATGTGAAGAACATGTTTCTTACCCTTTCTGCATCCGCAGCATCTTGTCTCCATACTTCTCCCTCAGTTGGGTATGGATGCTCTCATCAATGCGCATCGGGTACATGGTGAGAGCGATGGCCAGCAGACCGTGCATCTGCTCATTTTGTTTGTTAATCTGTAAATTAATACAAATATCGAGACCTGAGTGGGTGTGTCTGTCAGTCAGAGGGACAGAGGTTTGGCCTCAATGAATTTGATAGTAAAACCTGTGTTTACCTACTAATTCATAACAAAATGGCTGCTGTGGAACACTGATCCTGCAATCAAAAGAAACTCTGCTCTGACTCACCATCTCATATTTATAAGTTGTCCTCTGGAACATGTTTCTCGTCCTCTGGATGTAGAGCAGGATGTTGGCGAAGACTCGTATGGCATCCTGGTAACGCCTCATCATCAGGTAGGCAAATCCCACGTAGTAGTAGGTGGTGATCTGGCACTCAGGCACGCGGGAGTACATGCTCTGAGAGACAGGTAACAAATCCTCGTCATTGGTCGTTCTCAGGCGCGCCCCCCTCTGCGTCCATTACTGAAAACAAAGTCTCACCTTCTTGTTGAGCTCGATGTTCTCCAGGACTTTGATGGCCTGGTAATAATCACCCAGCAGAGAGTGAAGCCTCAGGAGCCCCACCAAGCTGAAGTAACCCAGCATCTTGTACAGGGAGTGACGCCCATATTCTCCAGCCACACTCTCTGGGTCTCCTGCAACATGCAGACAAGGAACATATATGTTACACATATGCTACAGGTCTCATGTAAGACCTAAGCTTAATATGCTGAGGTTGACCTCACTCCAAAAGAATCAAAGAACTACATGACAGAGAACTTACACTGCAACCTACTTTGGTTAACTTTAACAAGGAGTGAAGCCCATTGACTTAAATAATAAATAACCAATATCTCCAGAACATTGTTCTTCACCTCCGCTGGTGTACACCTCAAGCTGGCGGTTGATGTTGCTCTTGTCCACCAATGAGTGGAGAACGTTGAGGACGCTGTGGACGTTCCAGATCTTCGGGTTGTTCCTCAGGAATTCAATCTCCTCCTCTGACTTCTTGGCCGTCTTACAGCGGTACTGACTGAACGACTGGAACTGAAGAGAGGTATCCATGTTAAAGGCATTTACACACACTGTCTATGGGCTTTTAGACAGGAATGAGATAAGAGAAGTTATCCCGATGGGCCATGTTAAAAAAACATGATATCCCATCTATCTGTTTCAACACGTATATTTAAAACACCTTAAAATGTTTGGGCCATTTGAGCTGGTCTTAATTTTAGCACAAATTCTTACATGTGTCTCTTTGTTAACAGCAGGTTCTCTCAATTGAGGAAATGTGAAGAACATCATTTTCTATACCTGGTAGATGAACTCATCGATGATGTCCCACAGCCACTGGTTCGGCAGTTCCAGAGGGGCGGGGCCATCAGCATCTGTTTACAGTCAGAAATATTCTCCTTTAACCTGCTTTTCATCAGCAGCTCTTTGAGATAGATAATTACTGATGGGAGAAAAACGTGACAGAAATTGCTGAAACTTACTGAGAATGTAGTTGAAGAGGTTGCAGTAGTTGTAGTACGACTCAAACCTCTGGTCCAAAGTCGGCCCGCCCTGAATATCAAGAAAACAATATCTGTAATTAATACTGGAGAGGTTTTTTAGCAGGTTTCTCAGAAATGAAGGAGGACGTTGATGTCAGCTTCTATTAAGGAGTTACTCACGCTGACTTTAGCGTAGATGTGTCTGTAATAGAGCTCCTTGTAAAGGATGAGGAACACAGCATCTGTTTGAGTTGAGAGGAAAACATTGACGTTAAAGGTATAGTTCAGCGAAAATCTAAATTCACTCATCTACTCATCACCAAGCCTCCATCAGCATAGTGATGAGTACATAACGAGTGAATTTTGATTTGGATCCCTGTAAACAGTTATACTGCCGACTTAAGACAAACTTCAATCATTAAATCATTTCTGCAATGAAAAACAAATGGTTGTGTTGATGGGTGACACACTCACCGTTACCAACAAGTGATGCTATGGCCTCAGCCTCTGGCCAGGGAGATGTCTTAAAGAAACGCTCCGTCAACTTGTTCCAGCTGTAGAGCAACAAAACAAGAAAGATGACACTCACAAACTTTAAAGTAGCTGTTGGAATAGACATTATCACAGCAGGGGTTGGGAGGGTTTACCTGTTGTCATAAACATCCTGGATCTCGTAGATCTTCTGCTCGATGCTCTCGCTGGAGACGCGGTTGGACTGCAGCTCGTAGACCTTCTGGTCAATCAGGTCAGAGGTGGTTTTGTGGAAATACTGCAGGAAGTTCTTGATCACCTCTGGAATAACATGGTAGGTCTGCTGCTCGTACTGCCTCTCGTAGGCCAGGTCCGCTTTCGGGTCACCTGCAGGGAGATGGGACAGTGAGGAGGAGACCCTGATGCACTGTCACTCCGTTAAATGACGTATTCAAGATGTGTGCAGCTGTGTTCTGACCATAGAGAGCAGTTTATACAGGAAATGTGACATCAGATATCTGGATGGACAGATGTGTGTATACTAACCAGTGTGCAGGTCATAGTCATAAGGATCGTACTATAAGGAAATAGAGCAGATAGACATTTATTACCATTGACAAGCAAACAGCTGTATGTCAAACAGGCCCTTAATGTTGACGTCAGCTTATTAGGTCTAAAACGTCATCATCTACCTAACATTCTTTAATTATTTTATTCATTAATTATCTTATTTATCATTTCATTTATTAAAGGCAGAATCCAAAACATAAAACATACAGACACTTGAACTACTTTACAAAGGACAGAGGACACAAAATGTCCAGATGTCTATAAACCATCATGGAGAGACGGAAGATCACTCAATGAAACAGACTAGTTATGATCTACTGACAAAAGAAGCTTCAAAACGTTACCTTGTCGTCTGACAGACTGTGGTTTGGCTGCATTGTCTCGGATCTTATTGACATCACGCTATCTCATCACAAGCTACTGCTAGGTCGTCAGAGTTAGCTAGGCAGCTAGGTGGCTAGTAGGCTACCGCTAAGCAGCGTGTCGGTGCTTCGATCACAAAGGTTTGAAATGTCTTTGAGATGAAACTATTCACTTACTTCTTCCTCATCGTGGTACGACATGACGCTAGGTGTTAGTCTAAGCTAGTGAATAATGAAGCAAAAGAGGAGAACGTGTGAATTGTTAGCTAACCCCGCTAAAGCACGCAGCCGGTAGTGGAGAGGCGGAAACGGAAGAGGGAAGGTGTGGAAAACGACGGCACTGAAGCATTATGGGAAAGTGTATTATACCGTGTTCTTCTTCTTCCTCCATTCCGGCACACTAAGCACTCTTAAGTGCATTGCTGCCTCCCACCGGCAGGGAGGCATCACCGCCGTTTATGCAGTAGTTTTCAGAAAGAGAAAACGCCCCCCTCTCTCTTCTTCCACATTTCCTGTCGCAGAGCAGTAGCTTTACAGACACGTGTTAGTCCTGCTGCTATAAACAGCTCCATCCTTTCTGTGGCACGTGTGTGGAGGCCTCCTCACTGTGGGAGAACATGAGCAGCAGTGTGCAGCCCAGCCTTGACTCCTCAGGCTACATGAAGCACCTGGGCGCCTCTCCCTCCCTCCCTCCCTCCCTCCCTGCTGGTGGTGCAGGTACGTGGCTGAACATCTCTCTACCCTGCCAGGCTCCTTCTCTCTGGCTTGCACATTAAATTCACTCCCTCCCTTCCAGCCTGCATGTGCCCTGGTGACCTGGTTGTGAGTGACATGTGCCAAGGCCCCATACTGGAGGTGGTGAGTACTGGTGGTCCTCATAGTCAATGTGTTTTCATGCAGCATGGTCAGCTCAGCTAATTGTGTTTCCTTTGTCTTAGGTTCACCTGCTGCTCTTTTGCTTTGGTTAATATTGGTTTTATTCCTTGTGGGCATTATTAGCTTAATTATTTAGTTTGTTTGAATTATCTTTGTTTGACCAACTGGGTTACATCATTATTGGCTGTGTTGTTTATGATTATATTCTTAATTTCTACAATAGTTTTTGTTACAGTGCAGCTGAGTGCCACACTGCTGGAGGGCTATGGCTCTCTGGGTGAGCTCCCCATGTTGATGCATGTGAGTGAGAGCACCAGGACTCGAGTGTTGTGTGCACCATTGTTGCTGTGCACTGGTGGCACTCCTTTGTTTAGACTGCCCCTCCACATGTGGCCTCAGCTGGCATCCCACATTTTTTCCTTTGTTAAGTAGTGCTGACTTTTACAGTTTCAAGGGATTTGTATGAACATTTTAGAGTAATCTAATAGAGTATAATGTTAATCCTGTTTTGGGTTGTTTCAATAAAATGTTCTTTGTTGATAAAGACCTGTGTCTCTGCCTCTTATCAGAACAAACTCGCGTACTTGATTGGTGTCCAGAGAGGGACGTTGAAACTGTGGATCTTGGGTGCCAATCTCCCCCCCCCCCCCAGTTGGCGTTGTTGTGCAAACCAAATTAATCAATTTAGTGCCTCCACCAGATGGATCAAAACTTGCTGTATAGACTGCAGGAGTCTGTTTCCCCACAAGCACCACCCCCTCTAGTCCTAAATGTCCGAGGCCTAGCCTTGTCAACTTGATATCATCTATTCGAGGCCTCGTTGTTTTATTGTCTTCCCTGCCTCTCCAATTTAGAGCCCATCATTAAGATCTCCCCAACAATTCCTGGCCTATCTCTGCTCATCAGAACTCAACACAAGTATAAATGCAAAATATAATCAGAACTTAACATGCGTATAAACCTGTTTTTCTTTTCAATGCTTTTCTTCCTATGACTAAGTGATGGCTAAATGTTTCCTGAAAATAACATTGTAAATATATCAAAATGTGTGAAATATACCAGAGGTTGCCAGGTCGTTAATCGTTATGATCATGTTGCATGTATAGTAGCAACTAAATTAACAGTAATGTGGCCTAATCCAGAGATAAACTAATGATATGATGAACATGACAAAGAATATGACAAATGTGTGATATTGTACAGAACCTCTCTGGTGACATTTGGGGGGGTGGATATGACATAACACGTAGGAACAAGATAATAAGTCGTGGTCATGAGTTATGAATCTGTTCTCTGATAACAAGACCTGGAGAACTTGAAAGGCTTTTGGACAAGAGATGAAGCTTTTTACTTGATCACATAATGTAACCTCTAATGATCTGTAGGAGGACATACACTGACCTGACTCTGACTGAGTCATCCTATCCTCGTGTGCCATGACACTGTGCAAAGCGCAGTTAAATGTCCAGTGTGCAAAGAGCTGGAGTGTGGCAGCTACAACTCAGACATTGTTGCAACATTTGGAACTAATAACATTAAATACATTTTTGGTTTGTTGTAACAGGAAAGGCTGCACAGGTGTACACATTAACAATGGCTCAGTTCCATTTAGGTGGAAGCCAGTGTGGCCCAGTATGCACAACACATGGGCCTATACACCTCAAAGGAAACCATCATTTTATTATTGGTCATAAGATCTATGGTATCTCCCTCCCACAAATTAACTCAATAATGCTAGACTATTAATTACGCCAGTGTTTGACAAGTCAAAATTACCCATGTTTTAGGAGCCATCATGAAAAGAAAACTGGCATATGCCCATAAATCAAATGTGGTAAGTGGGTAAAAAGCCAAAAGCTCCACAGTGAGACATCAGACTGACTCCACCACCTCAGGCATAAAGGCTGGGCTGCAGGCACACAGTGGTAAGTTCCCGGCCAAGCGGTAAGCAGGTAGGCGTTTGCTGTGGTTAAAGCCAAGAGCGACACTGTTTTCAGTGAAGCAAACTCTATCAACATCAAACTTCCAAACAACATAACCTAACTTTTACTGCATCACTCGTGAATAAAAGAGAAGCACACATGCAGTGTCAGTTTTTACTGTGAACTCACCCAGTCCTTCCTCACTGCTTCCACAGCAAAATGGTCTGATGGTGTGCTGACCAAGTTCTGCCTGTCTGATGAGATCTGCGTTACATCTGCATTGTGGGAGCGTGCACTGTAAGGACAGTTGTAAGTATTTAAAAAATATAAAAGTACAATTTGAAAACAATGTGAACTTTGTAAGGTCTATCACTGATGACATGTTTTCCAAAGTCTTGTTTATAAAAGTGTCTGCTTATTAGACCAAGAAGTAGCATTCTTGATACTTTCCATCTGAACATTTCTGAAGGTGAACTCATTTGATGCATCCTCTGAGTGTAAGGGGTGGATGCACTGCTACTTATAAATGTCACGTTATGTTTTTTGAGTGCTTGAATTCAAATAGTTATCACAAATACATATTCAACCTCTGGATTCATAAAGTTACAGTGTTGATGTACACCACTTCGCACAGTTCATGCTATCTGAGACATTGAATTAGCATCATTATTGTATCTTTATATTGTTTATTTCTCCAAATTTCTTTGCAACACAGGGACAGATGGATAACTGCTCCACAAGTTAGTGATCAGGTCAGATTACTGATTTGAATTATAAAACTGTTAGAAATCAAACAAACCTTAAAACTGTAACTCACACACAGCTCGCAGAATATATAGGCAATACAGCAAATGTGGAAAAAGAAGAAATTCAGTTAACTGTGTCCTCTGTGATCGGCTGTAACAATGTGTATCTACCTGTATCTACCATTAGGTGGCGTTATAGTTACAAACTCCTGCTTTGTGCTTCGATAAAGACTTGTCAGTTTAGTATGAAGGCATGCATGAATTTACCATGCTCCTTCAAACCTGCACATGTATTCATTTATTTAAAATTCCCACTCAGATAAATTGTGTGTCCATTACTCTGCGTGTTATATGTTTGGATCAGTCAGAGGGGCAGATGATGCAATTATTTATTTATAGAATTTGCACCAGGTTGAATCATGTGTTTTGTGTTCACTTGCAGAACTTTGAATAAGTCTGAATGAGGCGGAGAGGGAATCGGGGGCTTGTGTGGGTGTGTGGGGGGTTAGCAGTCAGAGATCTTGAGCTCAGACTGCACTTCTTATCCGTGCTGGCTGTAGAAACAGACAGTAGCCTGTCTCATCCTCTCTCTCTCTCTCTCTCTGCCAACAGAACATCATCAGACCGGTGCCTGAAAAAAGGGTTTCTTGTTGTGGTTTTGAAGGGGAAGGAAAAGAAAAAGGGCGAAAGAGAAGAATACCTGACGTGTTTGCCTCCGCTACCAGCAGCAGACGGAGTCCCTCTAAACCTACACCTACCTACCTACCTACCTACCCACCCACCCACCGGCCTGGGAGCTGCCTGCATCCGATAAGGAATCTAGTCCACAAAATCAAGTGTGGAGGGGAGGGGGTGTGGAGAGAAGAAGTCGTATTGGAGAGAGGGAGAAGAGACACCGAGGGAGGGGAAAAGGTCAGGGACACGGGGGGGGTTATCGCACTGCTAGAAATAAGGAGAGTGTCTACACAAACGCTTTGGCAGACGGAACCAAGGAGACGAAGTGAAATAAACCAGCGAACCCCGCTCCAGCACCGGCATTTTTCCCCACAAGGACTATAGAGGATTTTTAAACCTTTTCGATTTCTTCCAGAAGCAGTTCTTGGTCTTTGGTGAAGTCCAGGCAGCACAGACTGAATTTTGGACCGTGCGTAATTTGAAGAGTTTATTGCCGCGCTGCGTCATGATGCGCGTCTGTCCTCTACTGGTCTTCCTCTGCCTCCTGTGCGCTGGACGCGCTCAAAAGTTCTCCGCTCTCACGGTAGGAAGAGCCACACAATTCCCTGAACACATACCACACGTATACATGTGTAAATATTGTTTTTAAATTAAATATATGTGGGTGTATTCCATGCGTAAAAGTTATATTCGCACTGATAAAAATGCTCAGAATGTTAGATACTAAACCCGGCGTTGGTCATCTTTTATTTGTGTCATCTTTTGGTGCTTTTTCGTCTAATAATAACAAATGTGGATTTAGAAACTATGATAAACATAGAAGTGTCAGCAGTTTAAACATTACCCATGCTGATGATTTTAGATGCAATATCTCTCCAGGTACCTTTTCAGAGTTCAGATTTTTGAGTTTTGTTTCATATTTGTCAGAGAGTCAGGCTCAACTTAAGATGGAATTTAAAACTTAAATATAGATTTCACTGTAAGGTTTTGTGAAATTCCTGCACAGTGTATCTGAGATGGCAAAGCTGCATGCCAGCCTGCCTTTGAGAAGTCTGGTCTGTTATCATGTACCTGCCTGGCAGCTTCATTGCTTGTCCGCCCCTCTGTCCCGTTAACTGTTGCACCAGTGGCTCTTAAGAGAGTGAGGTGACAGTGTCAGAAGGTCTGCTGCACAAAATCACATGGCATTTATTTCAGTAGTATAAACATGCATCATGCCCATTTCTCCTCAAAGTTCAGGGGAAAATGCATCCTCATGCAGCTGAGGGAAATTTCACTACCACGATCAAGTGCAGGTACCCTGGTGAAGGAGGAATAATAGAGAGCGGAATGTGCACTGTCAGAGGCTTTCCCCCTTGATTTAGAGGTCCAAGTGACAGCCTCCTCCTCCAGCACTGTTATTTATGGTCTGGGTGAAGATGCTTTAATATCCAACTGGAAATGGCCATGAGTTGTTAACCTGCAGGCGAAGGGTTGGAGATCCTTTCTCCCTGATGGCACTATTGAGTTGTGGAATGTGGGAGGAAGTGGTGCACCGAGCATACACTCCCCTTAGTTTTCAACACGATACATACATCTACACACACATAGTTTGAGGTCAGATATTGAGTGTCTTTATTAAATGGCCATAGGTGTTACATACATATTTACGGTAGCTCACTAATGCTGCTGTCTGTAGTGTGTGCTCTGGATATGACTCCAGGAATGAAAAACTTCTCTATTTCATTGCATGTTTGAGTGGGTACTGTGTCTGTGTCCGACCTCCCCACTGTGGTTTACTAGACCTTCTTTATTGGAATAGCACATGGAGCACCAGACCAGTACTTTTACAGGACTTTATGAGTGATTAATGGCTTCTTGTTTGAATGACACGTGATAATTTAAGAAAATGTATCCATGTCATATTTTAGGAGTTAAACACACATTGAGTGCCTGGACCTGGATTCTTCATGCCAATATTCTTTGGATACAAGTTTTCCCCAAAAATGTTTAGGCAGTCACAGACATGAGAAATGGGCCCAGGTTATTCAGATTTCTCCCATGGTTTATGGACATCTGAAATTGTGTGTGAAAAGATGAGGGCATATAGAGCATTGGCTGCCTCTTTTAAAAACCATCAATGCAAATTTGGTATAATATATTGGCTCCATTGCCCCGTATGCTTTCATAAAATTGTGCACCTGCCCAAACAGACTTTTGTTATTGTCACATGACCATTCGTGGCCTTTTCACACCACCTCCTTTTCTTTTTAACCTCTTTCACAGCAATTAAGTGCCTTTTCCTTTGATTGAGTTAGTAG